TTGACTACGAACTATTGGTATAATAGTGTAGTTATATGTATGCCAATAAAATAAATATATATGTATATTTATATACATTACTGTAGTCGACGAATACGAACAATTTCACGATAGTGGGAAAACACCATGGCAAAATGTCTATACACTTTCACACAAAATATGGTGGTTACTATTTAATCTGTAGATCGTATATATATATATATATATATATATATATGTATGTATTTCGTACCTATAGAATTATGGCGCACGCACGTGTTTGTGGGAGTGGAGGGAGACTAAATCTTTTAATAAGTATGTACCATTATTTTTTTTTTGAATTTTCTATAAACATTCCATTTATTGTTCTATCTTTGCACGGAATTTCAATATACAGGAATACTATTAATATTATTATATGTATTATACAGTACAGGTGAAAAATACAAATGAAAAGATTTGTATTGTATATAATCTCCGTTAAATAAATATTAAATTCAACAAATTTTTAAGCATTTTGAAATCCGCGATTTGTTTTGCTAAAAAAAACTTACAATTTCAACTATAAAATCAAACCGTTTAGTGGTGTCTCGTAAACGGTTGACGGGATTGGTAGGAGTGTACCGGGTGTCACAGGTTCTTGCGGTAAAAATTAAAAATCCCCCTTCCTCCCGTCATCCGCTATAGAAAACCGAACGAATTCCAAGAATCGCGCCATTGAGCGACGTGTGTAATGCGTGCTAAACTATAAGACAGATAAATCATTGGAGTGCGACCGAAAATCGTACGCCGTCGAATAATAGGTCCACTGACACAATTGTAACGGATGTGAACGTGTTATAAACGGTCATTGATTAATTTTACGCGGATGCTTAACTCCGGTCGATTCGTGCATTAGACGCGTTATGAAGAGTTTAAAATATATTAATTTGTCTATCGAACGCATATATGTCCAACGGATACACTCAATGTATTGCGGCAGAGAGGAGGGAAGAACGACGATTACACTACGAAAGTGGCACAAGAGGGCACTGCTGAGGAAAGTCGGAACTTAGCCCCCGCGGGGGCTCCTTTACACACGACAGGTAGTCGGTTTTGGGGTCACCTGTGGTTTTATGTTTTACTCGTTCGGCGGTCATCAATATTCACATTCAGTGCAGTCGACTACAGTGGCCGCGATTATTATCATTTTAACTGTAACACACATTTCTCTATGTATTATAATATATATACGTACTACAGGTGTTGTAGGTCTCGTCTCATCGTCGTGTCTGTTGTAATTATTACTGCTCGTTTCCACTGGCGATTATAATGCGTTTTGATTGGCCGACAACCGTGTCGCTTTTATTTGACCGCGGTGGCGCAGGTCGTCAGACTATTTAATGGTCCGTTTGATATTGTGATTTAAATTTTACAACACAACGTCCCGTCATTCGACCACAATTCGAGCAGTTATAAGTAAGCTTTTCGCGTACGTCCCTCGGGTCATAACAAAGCCGACGAGCGGTAATATCGTTCATATTAAAATAAACTTGTGCGGCTTTTACAATACTTTCATTTGATAATGGAATTTTAATAACTGTTTAGAAATCTTAGTACGTCTGTGTTTTATTTATCGTGTACATGATTTAACGTATTAAATTATCTTAACATGTTTTCTTTACAGCAGCAGCAGTCACAGCATACCGACAGCGAGATAGACAGACCGAGGTATAAAACCTGTCCGTGGAATCAGTGTCACTGAAGCAGCTTATAATGTATCCAACTCGCCGATACTTTCTTCGATAGATCGGATGTATCTATATAACATAATACAATACCTAATGCCTATCTAAACAACGACATATAATTTTATAATGTAATATTTAGGTAAACAAATCCATGCTGATGAACGGCGCGTCATTTAAATCCGTTAGAGGATAATGATAATATTATAACAACACGAGTATACATCTGGTCAAGGTTCAACTGCTAGAATCGTTTCGGAGAATAAACGGTCCGGAGTATCGGCCGTAGTAAAAATATTGGATTTGTACCAAGATCTATCTTATTACTTTACGCCACCGCCGTCGTCCTGTTATTATATTATATTATATATTATATGTAGGTATCCCATCAGATCCGCCTATCCGGCTGCCACGCCTCTACAACCGCCGTCTGATGTAGGAATGCCGGTGCGCATTCCGAGCGACCGCTTTAAAACTCATGACACCGTCGAATTTATTATTATATATATTTATACACTCAACGATCTCTGTATAATGTATTTTAAGAGCAAACTTGTATATAATATATAATATGATATAGCTTGGTGCACCAATTGTACAAGAAAAACGGTCAAAAAGATAGCAGTTACTTATAAAATGTTTATTTATTTATCAATTTATCATACGGATATATACGAGTGCGTAATATTGAGCCTATAGAACGAAGTTGTATTGTTACAGGTCCGAACGGTTTGTGGTTTTACGATGTGTTGGTTCACACGCGGTGGCCTTTTAAAACCACACCAAACGTGCACGAATGGTATAATAATATTAAAACCGCAAAACGATATTATTATAATACCCGCTAGTATGTGTATAACAATGTACACGTGTGGGCAAGCATATAACACTAGGTGCCTACGATATCCACCGCGTTGCATTCTATACACTTACTGCGCGTGCCTACACAATAATAATAATATGATATAGATGACGAACATCATTTGCGTTTTTCGTGGGCACAGAATTATCAATTTACACCCCCACCCTCGCGACACACTATCGCGTAACAGTTACATATAAGTAAACATTTTTAATTTTTATGTAATATCATAACGCTAAACGATGCTGGACGTTATATATTATCATATAGTTTAGCGCGACGTTACGGTGGAAGATTTAACTACCGAATATTACATAACTGTCTATACATAATACAATATATATATATATAACGTATTTATTCCAACGCGCGATATGCTTCTGCAGCCACGTACTTTCAAAACGCGCCAGCATAATATTATTATATAGGTACCCACGCGGTAACCCTACTGAACGTGAATAGAGGTGTTTACTTACGTTACGACCAACGTATTATTATTGTCGTTGCGAAGGCTCGAAAATGTGTTTACATTCTTTTTTTAATTATTTATATTTTTTTTTATTTTTTTTTTTCACACAGAACGAGCACAGTACATTTTGTTACATTATTATGATAATTGTGTATTGTGATAACGACAAGAAATACGAAGGAGTCTATTTAGTGTAAAATACTATATATTTTATAGATTGCAGTGTCCACAGCTAGTCGACAAAATCGCGATAAATTGATTTATAATAATAGTTCCGTCACGGAACCCACTATAATAGGTTCATTCATAAGTTGTGAAACTGTGCACCATTTATAAATGACATTTATATCGTTGACCCATTACAGTTACGGTCCACATTTTAACGATGAATTATGTTGTTTTTATTCTTAAAAATATAATACGAGTTAAGTAAATATACATTATTATGTTAACACAAATTGTTTTTATGTACTATAGATTTTTCGAATATATTGAAACTAGTAATTGGGTTAATTTACTAATATTTGTAAAAATAAATAGGTATATATTTATAAAAACGTATTTATCATTGATTCGCTATACAGAAGACTATTTACTAGGTACTTTCTAGGTAATATTTATGATTTATTAGTTAAAAAACTAATTAATAGATATAAAATACTAAGTAAAAAGTCATATTAATAACATTTGATTACCTACGTCATACTTGTTTAGTTTTTATTTTGTCTAAACATGTACCAATTTATATAATATATTTTTAATTAATTTAAACTATCGCGGTGAAAATATTAAATTGTATATAAGTATCTATAAGAATTGTTATTAACGTGTTTACGAAACAAAAATATTTAAAGATTTAATACCGAATAATAATTGTCAACCTGATCTGTGAGATAAAATATTTCTAAATCGTCAAACTGCTGTTTAATTTAGAATATAATAATTATTGTGTAGATGTGTGTACCCCTTAATATTACATGAAATCTCGCAGTAATTAAGGTTTCTATTAATGCTATTGTGTTTTAGAGTTGAACGATTACAAACGTTTCTGCAACATTGACCTAATGTAGCGATGTCCATATGCAACTAATATTTTCTCGCATGATCTCCGCGTATAATTTCGCTTAATATTCGCATTTCGAAATCAACTTCAATTATTACCGAAACGACATAGTGTCGTGACTTGGGGCTACATAATAATAATATACAGTCAGTAACAACAATATATAATAATAATATAATTATGATATTATATCGACACATACGCGTGCATATAAAGCATGGTTATAGAGTTAAGTTTTCGCTCCGGAGGAAAAATAGACGTATAATATCTAAAAAGGACAATACGCGATCGTTAACGCTATATTATCACGGCAAATGAGATGACGAGACGGTATGCAATAATAATACCTGGGTATATGAATAACGAATATTCTCATCGGCGGTAGTTGAGTCAATTATAATTAATAATAATAATTAGGGCTCAGATTCCAATGCAAAGTACATTATTTTTTTTGGTGCTTTAGGACAATGCACTCCAAATACATATTTCGTTACAATTAATAAACACAATACAAAGATGGAATTTATTTTTCCATTTTTTAGCTTTTTCAGGTCATCTTATTAATATTTAATGCATAAATTATTAGGAAATATATTTTCATAATATTTGCTTTAATAGTTTTTAGATATTTTTTCATCCGTGCCAAATATCATCATTTTGTTTTTAAAAACAGTCAAAACTTTTTTTGATAATTTTTAAGATACTTAAATTGGATCCTAAATTAGTATAAATTAATAAACGAGACGGTTTTACAGATACAATTCAATTCATTGATGACGACCGTCGACCATACCCGATGTGGATAGTAAAACGATACACTTTTATATTATTATGAATTAAAATTAACTTAAAAATAATATAAAGTACAACACGTGTACAATTAAGCGAATTTTCGTTTACCTGCAAGTGATCGTAGTTCCGGTCCGCAGCTGTGACACATTAATAATATGGTGGCGGTCGTTATCGTTTCGTCTTGACGGGCCTCTGATGGTGCGCCACATTGTTGCTCTGCTTCTGGTGGTGCACCACATGATCAGCACGGTCCAGCTCGTCACCGGACAACTCCAAATCCTGCATCATTTGCATGATCTCCCGTTCCTTCTTGATATCCACTTTGTTCGGTACCCCATCCACACCGTTTGGCACGATTGGCGGCGCGGCGAACTTGAGGTTAGCCAGCGATCCATAAGACCGGGATCGGTGCTCCTGTCGAATTGAGTACGAAAACGCCCGCTCGTTGAGATGACCCTTTCGCCGGTAAATGCCGGTGCTATACACCGAGTCCTCCGTGTCGTCCGTCATGTCTTCGTGACCAGTCGACATGATACCATTGCCATTAACCCTGTGTCCGTTCATCTGAGGCGGTCCAGCGGGTGGCGGCGGTGGCGGATGCTGAAGTGGCTGCTGCTGGTGCGGTTGCATCATCATCATTCCACCTCCACCAGCGCCACCGTTGACCATTAACTGTGGCACCATCAGTGGTGGCATCATCCCGTTAACCGAATCCTTGGATTTCTTGTCCTTTTTACCTTTTTTGGTCTTAGGCGCCGGCCCGTTGTTATTATTGTTGTTCATGTGATTGACACTGTTTGCGTACTGCTGCATCAGGTACGCCTCATGAGGGAAGTGCTCGGGTTGATAAGACGCGACCGGACTCAACGGCCGGGCAGACGGCATGTATATCGGTTCTTCCATTGCCATCGGTACTGGCATAGGCACGCCGTGCTTGGACTTTTTGCCGGTGTGCATATACATAGGTACCGGCATATAGTTGGCCGGGATCATTCCCGGTCTGGGTACCGGAATCATACCCGGCTTCATCTTGTGCATTTTTTTGGGGTGAGGCAGCGTGGTGGGCACCATCATTATGGGCGGCGGAGGTGGTGGCTGCTGCTGCATCATTCCTGGATGATGGTGATGTGGGTGGTGCGATGAATGCGGATGAAAGCCGTTAACGGGCCTGAGCATGGTGCCACCTCCACCATTTGAATATATGTGGTTAGGTGGCGGTGGTGGTGGAGGCTGTTGATATTGCATGAACCCTCTGGGTGGTCCTCGGCTCGCCATGGTGCCGTTGAGCGATACTGAACTTCGGCCGCCGTGCACAGATCTCATAAGCGAACCGTTCATCGACGGCGCGTACAAATCTTCGCGACTTCCACCGGTTGGCGTCCTCTTGCGGCGCGGTCTCTCCTTTGTCTTTTTGGCTGCTGATTTATTACTGTCGTCTCTCACCGGTGGCGGTGGTGGTGGTGGTGGCGGGGCACCCCCGACCAGTTGCCTGGGTCTGCTGGAACGAGAGCTGCGCATCGTATTGCTGGTGCCGTACAAGTCTTCTTTTTCCGATATATCTTTAGTGCTGCCAACCCACACTTTATGGTTTTCGTCGCCGTTGCATTCGGACAAATCGTCCATGGAGTTCGTGGACGCCTCCAGCATGGTAATCCCATTCGAGTGTGCACTGTTGAGCGTCAGCGTGCTTCCAGCCGCCGCTCCACCGTTGGTCATACGCCGCCAGCCTTCTACCTTTTCAATTGTGTTGTTGCCAACTGACCTATTAGTTCGCACAGTGCCGTATATGCTGTTACCGCCAGCACCATTAACGGTGCCATTTGTGCCACCATTTTCCGATTGTTTGGCGTACGACGAATCAGCGTAAGCGTGGAAACAACACCGAACCAGCGCGTTGGCGGCCATCTCACGTTTGCATATAAATGTGTGACACTCGAGCACCTTGATGCCGGAAGTCCGGCGTAGTATAGCTGCGAACAGTGGTGGATGGTTTGGGTTCGGGGACCGGGCGAACGGAGAGTCCAATGGCAAGAATCGCGGCTGGGATGACCCGTTTGATTTTTCGGGCACCAGGACGAATCGGACCGCAGCACAGTAATGCAGTGACTCAATCGGGAAGAACCGAGTGATCTTTTTGTGATTCTCGTCTACGTTTTCCAGCAGCAAACCATTGCTCCAAACGCTTAGCCAAGAGTCAATGCCGCGGGCGCCCAAGGCTCCCTGCTCCGGGTACAACTCCTTGAGCGGTTCCTGTATACCCTGCAGACCGTCCTTAGTAATATGTGGTACGGCCGAACCCAGATACAGGACCCGACACCGGCAGATGGGTGTCGAGTCGGATGGTCTCATCATCATCATCATACTCATGGTGGCGATCGACGGACCTTGCGTACTACACTTCGACGATCAATTACCTATTACTCTTCGCAAGACCGGTGATCGAACGATGCGTCGTGTCCACTGTTTCGTTTGTATGTTAGTGTGTGCGCCCGCAACGGTTTAATAAATATGTCACATTCCCTGTAACGCGATTAGACGACGTTTACCGGCGACCGTCATTCACATCACGGGTCGCGAGTACCTAGTGAAATCCCGTGTATACTTATCCGAAACGCGGTTCGCGACGACGATAATAGAGGTATACGACCTTCGTACTGCGTGGTGTGTTCGGCACACGCGAAACGCGACACGAAAACGTGACGAGTGTGTAATAATATAACAAGAAACCTACCGCACAAAACGAGACGCGAATGCGAACGGTGTGTCCCGTAGACTGACGACGGAGTGGTGGTCGTGGCTCGCCGGCGACCTGTCGTGCGGGTTTGCCGCACCGCAGTCCCCCACCGACGTCGTCGCTTCCACAGCGCGCGTACCGTTCCACAGGTAGTGCTGCAGGTAATATTAATAATATTATATTATATTATGGAGAGAAAAAGAGTGAGGGAGTGGTATATCGTATATTATGTTATTCGACCGGGAAGACTACGGAACGAGTCGCGTTCTGTACCCAACTACCTTCGGCAGGCGCACCAGAGGTACCGGTTCGCTTGCTACGACGGTAACAGTAATAACAATAATAATATATTATAAGTTTTTTAGAGTGTACACAGGTTGTATGAGGTATGTACATTGTACAGTAGAGGATGTACGTCCCCCGACGTCCATCGTCGGCGTCTGTACGAGATTTTTTACCCACCGACCGCGGTTCGACCGGAAAAAAAACAACGTACCCACAGACGACGACGACGACGAGCGATCTGATCATGTTATCATTTTTTATTTTTATTCTTTTGAACATTAATTATCAATACTAATTACTATATTATGAAATATCGTTAATGTATCCTCTATCTCTACAATTTTTTAAAACTTCAAAGATTCATTTTTTCGTCAACGAACCGAAAGGCCAATTTCAGTCCAACCGGACTGTGCCACTGTATAGTTTTATTGTACTTATAGATTATAATTTATAATACATTAAAATATTTTATTTCCGTAATTTTAAAATAAATAATGTGTACTATACATCATACCTATTTTATAATAATATTATTAATATTAATATATTATAATTTATATAATAATTACACGTACTGCCAATTGATGTTATATTATACTCGTAATAACATTTTTTGTAAAAAATAAAATATGTATACGCACCTTATACTGAGGAACACTAGAGATAACAAAGTGGTTAAAAATTATGCTAAAATAAAGCAAATTTTAGGTCTTTGTTTTTTTAATTTATTATTATATACAATTTACCAATATTCAAACCAAAAACCATACAAACGTGAAAATAATATGAAAATATTGAAATAATTTAGGTTATTTTCTAAAAATAATTTTTTATGTATATTATTGAAATACCCGTTTATTTACCTACATTTAACTGTAATTACCAACTATGACTATTAAAATTGTTTTAAATTTGTTTAAAATGTAATGATAGACTATTAATTTCATAAATATTATGTATATACCTATAGGAAGGTCATGTACATTATTTATGATATGCCTATATGTTTACATAATTAATTTCAAATTAAAAATTTGTATTATAATATTTCTATAGCTATCTATATTAAATAACAATAATATTTTCGTATTTTTATGTAAACGCTACGTATAACTTTGACTATTTATTTTTAAAAATACCACAATAACAGTAAAAATTTTAAATATTAAAATTACGTATGTCATTGCAATTTAAAACATAAATTTGGAACTAACGTTTCTTTCATAGTCTAGACATAATGGTTTTAATTAGGCACTAGCTTCTAGTAATGATAATAAATAGTAGTATAATCAATGGTACTAGGTACTAACTTCGAAGTATTAAATTTTGTAATTTTATGAAGTATTGTTTTCTATGGATATCGAATTTACATATATCATATTTGGTTATCGATTAAACAAAATTAAATAAATATGTATAAATATTAAATAACACGATTTCTTGAAATTTAAATTACGAGTATAATAAAATCAGTATGAAAACAATATGTGATATATGATATGCGTGTAAATATTTGTGTACCTGCTTAATTACTTTGTCTATTTTGACTAGAAAATATATAGATTATAGGTAATTATTTTCTTTTTAAATATAATTTTAAAGTATATACAATTTTAGAATAGGTTCTATTAGCGTTATTGTTTTCTAAAAGAAGAAAATTTATCAATTACGATAAAGGTCAAATAAAAGAAAAAGGGCAAAAGGTTTGTATATATAGGTATATAATATGTTTTAATTTACTTACAGAGTATAAGAAATTCGCGTTTTGATCACACTCCTAAATTGGTATTCTCGTCAGCCAACTATATAATTTTCTTTTCAAAACCGCTAATTTGCAAGTTGCAACGAAAAAAAAAATAAATACTTTTGAAACATCTATTTTGTGTCGTCACATCTGGTAATTTTTCAATCTGTAGGAAACGCGGGTCACATTACCGAGTCAATGTGAAACGTAATGTATTATTATTCAACATTATCATCGACAATGATGTTTCTAACAATCCAATATGAGCAAACTTCCTGTTTAAACCCCATACTTTTCGCGCCACAAATAAAACATGGTCCGTACCTTGTCGCGGTATTGTCTTAACGAGTTTCGGCGAACTTTTTCACCCCTATCGCCGTTGCGTATCTACGTCTTTACGTATTCTGTAAGAACGCGACAATACTCTCACTCGTCCCGCATCGGCCGCATCCACCGTCTACAGCAGTTGCCTTTTTCTGAAAGTGCGTACCTTTGTCATTCGTTACGTGTAACGTGTCCGTGTCGCTGTATCCGTGTGTGATCCGACAACAGTACCATCGCTGAGTGTCCGATCACCGTATCCGCCACGTGGTTCGATCGCCACATATTCGCGTCATTCGTCGTTCGTCTCGACCGCGTGTGACCGAAATCTAATATATAGGTACGCATCGTTTCGTGCAATAACGGTGTGCCTGTTAAACGCCGCCTTTAATTACGTGTGTCCTTTTATTTGTGTCGCATTCATCGCCGCCACTGACTCGGTTACATCGACGACCCAGGAATTTCCAATTCAACGCCCGACGGCTTCCACTCCGTCATCAATAAGATTCGTCGGACGATCCTTTTGGCACTACTACAGCCCATTTGCTAATGACTTCATGAATTTTAAGCAATCAATATATCCATTATGAGCCACACAACGTGCATGTTTTACATAGATTTTTTATTGTTAAAAAATCTTAACATTTATCAAGAATTTTTCTAAAATTTCCAGACGAATTGTTGAACCTGCAGAGTTATTATATATCATTAATTGAATGTTGTAAAAAAAAACAAGTCGCTTCAGTAGTACCTAGCTTAAAGTAGGTACTCTTATATTCTATGAATTGTAAATCGTATTTGATTGTATTTGATCGTATTTGAACGATAAGATAATAATATCATCGTGTGACGCTAGAAAACTATATGCATAAAAATAAAGGAAAATAAGCAATTTTTTTCGAAAATAGCCCACTGTCGCTTTTTGCTGATTTCTTTTTTAAATCAAATATTACCATTTTTTAGGTTGTCGGATGTTTAAAAAGTCGTTAGAAATAGACTAGAACGTTAGATGCACTGTCGCTCTACCTTTACATATAACTATTGATATGATTTTTAAAAATTTTACAACAAAAGATCCTAAAAAACTGTTTTTTTACAAAAATCATATTTCATACGATATCTAAGTGAAGGAAAGTTTTGAATTTTGAAATTTTATATCCGCCATTAGACGTGAATGGGTAATTCTTGTATTTACCTGTATAGTTCAATATACTTATAATTGGAATTAGACAATTTAAAATATAATAAATAGAGTTTTAATAAAAAATACTAAGTTAATATTGAAATTATTTTATTTTTAAAAATATTCTTAGGTTCCTATTGTATCAAATAAAAAAAAAATGTCTATAAAAAATCATTGTTATTTTATTTTTTAATTAGGTAGTTTAAATGTTTTGCTGTTTTTCAAAATTTGTCGCCAGGAGAAAATTCTCCTTTTTTTCGTAAACGTGACCTGAATATTATTCCAATACTTTTGCAACTCATTAAATTCAAAATATGTTAGTTTATAGTTTTTATAAGGCAAACATAGTCAAGTTTTAGTTTTTAGATGTTTAAGATATTTAGTATTAGCAAACAAATTATTGTTATTTTTCAGCAAGTTTAAAATCAAATTTATTTCCATATTACATTGTATATAGTAGATATACCTTTGTTGAAGACTTTGATACGAATAGTGCAATCTGGTCAGTTCGAAGTGTCCAACAACTACTGCAGCCTGCATCACGACATGAACACTGGGTGATCATTATTCATTATCATTTCGTTTTATCATTTTTTTTTGATTGTTAAAATTTACTTCTGTATATTATATACCATCAGTACCTAGCTATTAAAATTATTATTATTATTATAACAACGTATATTTCAATATTTGTATTTGAATATTTATTAACTATAGATTAAAATTGTAAGATTTGTTCTAAACACGTTTTTTTTGGCGAATCGCCAACGAATTTTGTTCATATTCATTAGTGAGAAAATAAATATTTATAACCATTAAAAATCAATATTTTTTCCTCTTTCGGATACTATAAATCCCGTTATACCTATACTTATTAAAAAATACTTGCAGACAGTTATGTATTACTATTTACTACATTAAATACAATATTAAACGTCGTGTATCGTATAGTTCACAACCAACGATCGTAATGTTTCATATAATTATTTTTGAATTAAGCTTTTGGCTATTTTTATTCATTTTCTTTTTTGACAACTTATACTCATTGTCTAAGCTATAAAAAAAAATAATAATTCTATATAATTTAACATTGAATAATTTATTTCTTTTTGATAAAGCCTTACGTCGCTATGAGTGAAATTTCGTGTACGCTGCAGTAGTATATAGCAAAGTTTATATTAAATTTGTTATTTTATTAAAATATAGTAAAAATATAATAATAAATCGTTTAAAATAGTGACCTAATTACAGCTTATTTTTTCGAAAAAGGGTTTTTTGGGATACAATTCCTTGGCGCCCGAAATAATAACGAAACCATTGTGCGCATATACTTCTTATAAATTATTGCCTGTCTGCAGTCTGTATATTGGACCAGAACCAGAGTTTAACCAGAAATTATAATAACAATTATTATTTAAATTTGTTTCCGACTTAATACGTTAATTATATACCTAGAATATTTTATTATTATTATTATGATTTTTATAAATACACTTAAGTGTTTTTTTTTTTTTTTATTTAATATAATTCAACGCAATAACGTAATGTTATATTTAAACACATGTAAACAGTATTAAAACTCGTTAAAAAAATTATGGCCGTATACGATAGATATTGTAATATTATGTAACTTACAAAGTATACATAGAACACATCTGTTTTTCCGCCGCACGCCTTAAGTAGGTACCTACATGTATCTACTACAATGCATCCGATACCATCATTTTATCATATTATACGAGTAGATGGAACGGCACGAAAAACCTTTCAAGTCGGGAAGTCCAAGCAGCATTTTTCACCAATATCTTCAAGTCACCACATTATACACGATTTGGGAGGACGCAAATTAATTACTGTATTGGAAAGATATTTAAATAATAAATATTTCTACAATTGATACCGAATATATGATGGAAATCGGAAAACAAATGTAGGTATTGCAATTTTCAGCTGACAGTGGTACAGGCTATCTAAAAACTCCCGGTACCACGGTCATGGTCCAGAGGCCGTTTTTTCGCGTAGGCGTATTTACTATGATGATATTTATATACAGTTTGTCTTTGGAATATCTGTGCTTTGTGTAGAGGATAGTACAACAGAAAAGGACTACAGAACTCAGCGACTTCGTCTATATAATGACTTAATTTAAATCGAGCAAGTGTTGTGAGTACCTATATAAGTTAGACCAAAAATTACTATGTTTTAAACATTATCACTACCATAAATATATCTCATTAATAATAATTAGTAATCCGCTGTTTGTCTGATGATTTTTTTTTTTTTATGACCGTTGACGAAATCGAAATAGCCCATTGCCTAGGTACGCGTTTCAAGGCTCCTTTTTTTAGCTTAAAAACACGATATTTTTAGCCTATTTAGTATTACCGTCGCAATACAAAAAAAGAGCTCACATTAAAAATATATTTAAAAAAAATATAATTTGATAGAATAATAAAAAATCAAATAAACGAACAAAAAAAAATAGTCAATAAAGAATAATAAACTATATAATAATAGATTATCAAGTATGGTGGTATTAAAAATCGTTCAGCTATTTTATTTTATGACGTATATTTTTTTACTACCCACTCAATTTTACAAAAATTGAACATATTTCTTACAAAATAATGATTATTATATCAATATAATATGTCGGTGATTGGTGAATAGATAAACATAAAAATACGAAATATTTAACATGTTATACAGTAAATTTTTATTGGTAAAATATTAAAAAAAAAAAAAAATGCATTTACTTAATAATATCAAAAATAAGTAATAATGAATACGTTTATTTTATTTAGGATATAGTCTAAATAATAAGCGTTCATTTTTTAATCAGAATCAACAAATAATCTGCATTCAATAACTTTGTATTTACACAAAAATTCACCCCATAGTTATCAGACATCCAGCACTCATTGATTAATCATCCAAAGGCCTATCAGAATATTGATATTAAACGTGATATGAAATATACAAATGGTATCTTCATCTTCAGTAAGCAATAAGCATATCTACATTTTTAGGTCAACATAACGTAGAGAAATATTAGTTCTCCCTCGTATAGAAGCGTCAACGCGATAAACAATACTTAACATTTAAAAAAGAAAAAACTTGTAATTTTTTTAATGATACTGCGATTATAACATTATAACTACGGTATCAATAGTGTTGATTTACAGATTTTAAAACTATACGGCATCCATAAGTTTAACGTCAATTGCCACAGGTTAATAATTTAAAATTTGAGGCCTTACCCATAGATTTTTTTTACACTAGCATCATGTATGAACCTTTTTTTTATTGTTAACATCTTAAAGACTCTTTTGAATAATTTAAATAATATAAATGTTTTGAGTTATGGTCACTGGTGTATATAGGTCTACAAAGTACGTTCAAATAAGTGAGAGGGGCACAGTCACACAGATGTATAGTTCTCTAATCATAAAATTGAAAAAAACACAGCAAAATAATTTTTTTTTCTGTTAAGCGAAGACTTGAGAAGTTAATTTTTAAATATATTTTGATTTAAATACATTTTTTGTAGTTAAAAAATTATATTATTAAAATAATATATAAGCTTCTAGCATAAAATTCTTCCTATCATCACTGCTAATTTTATCTTAAATAATTTAATGTCCGTGCTGTGCTTAAAAGGGCCTACGTCTTCTATACAAACCCTAGAAGCTCAAGTTTTACGCAACACTATTGGTTATAGAAATCAGTCTATGGATTTAAGATTAGTAATAAGTACGGTACTATACTTAAATACTTTATATCATGATGTATGTTTTTAACATTTTAATATTTTTTGATAAAAAATTAACAACTATAAACAATAAACTCATTATTTCAAAGTTATAGTTACTATCATAATAATTTTAATAAAATGTTTGAAACCCCTTAAATCCAGTTTTTATATTAACAAATACACACTGACGTAAATTAAAAAACTAGCTTTAGTGTGAGCTTTAAAAAGTTGAAAAATCCTAGTTAATACATATTTTAAAAATACTGTACAATATACTTTAATAACAATTAAACTAGTTTAAAAATTAAACATTTTTTTTTTAAATATGACTTGTGTTAAAAGCAATAGGCTTATAACATACATTAGTCTTGAACCACATCTCGAATAGTAAACATTTTTATGTTTTTGATTTCTCATCAATACAGTGTATCGATGTAAAAACTTTTTTATAATGAATGCAAGTATTATGTGAAAATAGCTTTTCATTTTTGAACCAATACTTCAATAGGCTATTAATTTCTTCTTTTGTTTTAGGGAGTCCAGTTTTTTTGCAGTATCTTACTGTTTCACTCTAAGTTTAATCAAATTAATTAAAATAAGTTAATTTTTGCAATATAATTATGTTCAAAAATAAATAAGAAAATACCCGCAGATAGTTAACTACTTTCAATGGACGGCAACAATGTAGGTCATTGTTTTCTTTTTCCAATTGCATAAGTTCTAAAAGTTGTTTAAATTCCTCGGCACCATATGTTGATATATATAGAGCTACATCTGTGATGTTTATATCAGGATTATCAGAATCATCTGTAAACATTGTAATTAAATTTTATACAGACATTATAAGTTGATAATATGAAGATTAGAGATATCTCTAAGATTATTTCTAATCTTCATGGTTGATAATAAACCATTAGTGCAACATACCATTGAATACAATAACAACATTAAAACCATTTTTAACTATTCTTTTATCTGTAATAGTATATTTATCAGGTGATGGTTCATACGAATTATCCAGATCCATTAGAAAACGATAATTTTTTTCACCCAAATATCTACAAACATCAAAAATTTGAATCCCAATCATAGATTTCACATTTTTTAATCAATACATAAAACATTATCATACACTATAAAATTTTGTTCAAGTTTACAATATTACACTCGCAAGTCTCCATATAAGCGCATAGAAATTATACCTTTATAGTTTATTCTGTCTATAATGAACTTTCATACATTGGAAATTTAAAAAATTAAATAAATACATAATAAAAAAGTTATAATTACTTTTTATTAATTAGAATTGATTGGTCTAACATTTTAAGTGGTATCTCATCATCAGCCAATTTTTGGAAATAAATTACAGCTTCTTGAAGACGACAAATATTTAAAGCTTGTATTTCATTACGCACACAACAAAACCAATTGTTGTCCTCTATTTGACCAATGAGCATAAACTCGGATGACCTATTTATGTATAAGTAAAATATCCTTATTACATATTATAATATAGATTTTAAAATTCATTCAAAATGTATTTAAAATTTAATATTTAATTTTCGTTAAACAATAATTAAAACAAATTTAATTTTTACACTTACATAATTTTTTGATCATTAAAAATATTTCTTTTGATCTCAGATAACTCTACATTAATTTGAGTAGAATGCCTTTCAAGATTTTTAGCGATAGCTTGAAATGGTTTTTTTGGTAATTGTACATCATTTGTTTTAGTAGTTACAATCCCTTTCTTTTGTTCATTTGACAATTTTTTATAATTTAATTTTTCATCCTCACTCAAACTTCCCCATAATCTTGCAAGTTCTTTGCTTACTTTTGTAAATTCTATTCCTGGATTTTCTTGAATAACTATATTAAATAAAATTAATTTAATTTTTAATTTTATGCTCAAATAATTAATTTAGATTAGTGTAGATGTAAATACTTTTAATTCTCATTTCCCTGGCAAACAGTGTAAATCCCGACATTTCTTTGTTTCCCATTTGACTGCTGACACTACGAATAGTGTCACTAAGATCTTCTTCTGGAACATCTATAATATAATATGAATTAAGTAACTAAATCATTTTATTTTATTTAATAACAGTTTACAATAAGTAAATGTGTATAGTAGGTGATTCTTTTATCACACACTCATTATTTCAAAATCTATTAACTTATTAAAAAAAATTTTTTTACATAATTTTTAGTCTAAATAAAACATTTATCAAAAAAAAATAAAATAGATTTTGATATAATTTGTTATGTTTGATACAAGAATTACTCTATATTTGTATTACTGTGGATATTGTTTTTATGAACAATTATTATGAATAATTTTGATATGTTTCTATTCAATCAACCCACAAATTGACTAGAATAATTTAAAAAGTATGAAATCCAAACAAAACATAATATTACATTATAATTTAATGACCTATTTATATTTTTCAAAAGAATAGACAAATCAATTAATTTGTATTGTGTCATTGTAATATGTTCTAACCCATTCACATCAGACACAAGCTGAAAACTTAAAAATAAATAAAATACCTCTAATTGGTCTTTTTGATCTAGGTTGAGGTACCCAAGACTGTGGGCGATTTACTAAATGATTAAGACCAGGAACTTGCTCATCGGGAATAGAAACTGTACGAAAAAGATGTTCAATTTTTAACTGCTTTATACTGTTATTTGATGTAACTACTGAAATACTTTCTGAGGTTTCATCATTTGTATTTTTCACAATAATATTTTCATCCTTTTGAGATACTGAAAAAAAAATTGATTTTTTTAATTAACTAATATAAAATCAGTTCATTATCAATTGATGTATAAAATACTAATAATAATTAAAAATATTAATACTTAATACCAGTTGGAGAATGAAGAATTTCAGTTTCTGTATTCATTTTTGGCATACTGTTTTTTTCTAAGGTTTCAGTCAAGACATCCGATTTTAATACCACTCCACTCTAGAAATTTACTTAATGTACTTCCAAAATAATAAAATAAAGAAAATTGCTTTATAAATACCTCTAATGGTTTTCCATTCAGAACTACATCACCCTTACTCCATTGTGAAATTGATATATCTTCAGCAATAAAATTTCTAACATTCGCATTATCAGATTGAATAGTTTGAAGAGGAGAAGTATTTCTTATGTTTGATAACTTTTTACGGTATTCCGAAATATCATCAGTACTTTCCACTTTGTCATTTTTCAAACATGACATTTCTTCACTTTCATTATTTTTTGATATAAATGGTTCTTCAAAATCAATTTCTTCTAAGCTTAATTCCTTAACTATTTGTATATGCTCGTCATTATTTGATACGGAGTTAAATGAATCACTGTTCATTACTTTAGTTGACTCTGCATTTGGGACAAAAGAATCATTAACTTGTGAAATCAAGATTGGAGATTTTTTTACTTGGACTTCTTCTGAATCATAAAGTATTTTTCTTTTATTATTTGGATGTTCTAGGACTTTATTAATATTAGACTGATCATTCTCTACTTTATCATTATAATAATGTTTAGCAATACAATTCTTAAGATTGAGTAGTATCATATCCTGAAAATTAGTTTTTAATTTAATTTGAATTAAATATATATTTATACATATAAACATGAATAATAACAACACCAAGAAAGAATAACACAGTAATGTGTTTGTTTAATGATTATCAAATGTTGGTGTAATTATAATAATAATAATAATAATTGATATTTGATGTAATTTTCAGTACACTAAACCTGATTATGAAATAATATTCGTGATTTATCTGGTTCCAAATTTACATCAATAGTCTCAGGTGGAATGGTTATAGATATAAGACATGGCAAGTATTTGCCTGGAGGTAAATAATGTCCGAAATAATTATTGAATTCTCCAACAATAAGCTAAATTATTTATTTAAAGAAAATAAATTATTTAATCAACAATTCAAATAATTGAAAATCAATTTACTTATTGACATGTATTCTTACTTTTTCAATCTTGCTGTCCCTGACAGGTCTTTTATTTACATATATATAAATTGCATCAGCAACATTTGTGGTAAAAAAACAATTTTGCACATTTATATTTTGTACGGGTAAAACTATATCAATATTTACCTAATGGGATTAAAATTATTTTATATTCAGTAATATAAAATGTATCAAATTATCTAACTCCAATCAAATCAAAAATTAACCTCTTCGCTTGTAAATGTTAAGTGCTTTACACACTTAGTCATTGACGATGACCAAATTTGACCAAATGTCACAACCAAATCAGTAGCTGAAGTCATTTGCCATAACACAGATTTATTATGAACTAAAGAAACACGAATGTTTTGTTGAATCGCTGCTAATGATTTAACAATGTTTTCCACTCTACGTAAATCATTAACACAATGTTTTTTTGAACTATAAATCTGTTTTCGAACTGGCAACTTTTTGAAAAGGTTTTCTATTTTGATAACTGTACCTAATAAAAAATATACTGTTCAAATATATGCTGTGTAAATTATGATAAATTTTATTAAATACTAATAACTACTGTCAAAAACTCATTAGTATATGTTAGTTAATACATAGGCAAAAACATATGTTTAAATATCCACTATTAAATACTTATTTTTACACATAATGAAAATATAATTTACTAACCCTTTTGGTGATGACAAATTGAACTTTTTTTTACACGACCATTACTGTCCATGGTAAACGATTTGGCATATTCATCAAAATCTGATTTTGTAATGATAGTCACATCGGCTACAGCACAAATGGAACTAAGAGCTTCACCTCGAAATCCATAGAAAGTCAATTTATCTACATAAATGAATAAAAACTAAAATATGTATTCAACTGGGCAATACAAAAAATAAGCCATTGCATACTCAAATCGGATAAATCAAATATTTTGGAAGTGTAATTAGGCAAACACATGACATACACGTCACTGTGTGAAATGCCAACCCCGTTGTCGCGTATTTCAATCTTGTCCAGTCCATAGTTATCCTAAACATTGAATCGTATTGTATTGTTCACAATACACAAAATTTTAAATAAGTGATTTTCAAACAATGTTCATACCAGACGTATATCAATGATTGTAGCATTGGCATCAATAGAGTTTTCCATTAACTCCTTCACCACCGACGACGCCGACGTAATGACTTGAGTACTACTTATCAGTTTAATAGTATCCGACGGTAATTGTTTCATCGACATGACTATAAGTACTCGTTCAGTTTCGGTTGAAGTATTCACTATTCAGTTTAAAGATTACATTTGAAAAAACGAAGAGTGAAGACAGAAATAATTTGGTAGGTGATAATTATTATACTAAACTTGACTACTTGAGGTAAACAACAATAACATAATTTGAATTTAGGAAAAAGCGCGATAGCTTATCAATATCAGTTATCATGAATCGTGATTAATCTGAGATAGCACCACGGTTACTAAGGTCCACCTGTAGGTATCATTAACTGTACCACAGTACCGGAATCATTATCGAGATCATAACCGTAGTCCGGTGTACGTGCGGTATAAACTTGTTCATGAAAATATACAACGTTATACACGGTTAAATTTAAATAATAACACAACGCTGTTCCAACACTTCCAACTTCATCACTCTGCCGTAAATACTAAATAAGTGTGTCAAGTGTGATCATTAAACTGAATATTCGTTTTAGCCTGTAAAAGTGTAAAATACATCGCCGATCACTACAACGATTTTAAACTGCACTCCCGTCAATTATTAGTGAATTTGAACGTGGTGACTACTTGTGATTTTTTTCCGAAATACTGAACAAATTGCATATATGTGCAAGGTCAAGTGCGCTCTCACGATAGTTCTTTTATAATATTATATTCGTAATCCTACGGATAATTGCTAAGTTTGTACCGAATATGGTTAAGGAACAAAAAATCAAGAAATTTGAATACAAACGTCGTTTGAAGGAATTAAAGCAAGTACGTATAGTGTTATGTGTCGTTTGAATGTGTGTCGGATTTCCTTTGAACTATTTTTTTAATTTTAAATGTTTATTTTTTTTATATCGCCATTGTATAGACATTGAAACCGTACCAAAACAGCCAAACTGTTAATCTTTTGCGGCTGAATACTAGGTCATGTGGTGCGCGTCTGGACAACTATTGGGAAAGCCTGGAATTCACAGGAAACGTAGCTTGTCATTTAGTCGAAAAGCGCATTCAAGATGTTCTCAATAGGATTCTTGAGTATGGAGAGTATGATAAACCTAAGACACAAGTGGATGTTATCAACAAACTTAAACGCCTTCACATTGTAAGATACAGAAATAATGAATCAAAAGTAAACATGCTCAACAGTATAAGACACATCAACGATAATTCAAGAGTGAACACGTTCAACAATATGGGACTTGGTAACATAGACTTAATAGCAAATGTGGTTGTCGACAGATTGAAACATTTAAATATCAACTCAAAAGCAAACACGGATGTCGACGAATTAAAAAATTTAAATATTGACTCAAAAACAAACATGGTTATTGACAAATTGGAACACTGCACGTTGGTTACCCACCAACATTATTACAATAAAATATAGGTGTACAAACTAAGAGTAATTGGTTATTTAGAAAAAAGTAAATTATAATGTAGTAAAATATGTATTTTCTAATAAATGAAATTAATCAATTTATTATCATTAGGATAAAAAGTGTAAGTTATACATATTTATTTATAATAAAAAGTCAACTTATTAAATTAATATTTGTGGAATAAAAATCTGCTCATCATAGATCCTATGCACAAAAACAACTAGAATTACTGAGGAATAAAAACTGCACAGCTAGATTTGGTGATAGGTTATTTATAGACTTCTGTTAATAAAAAAAAAAAATGGTTATTATTTTTCCCTACTACATTTTAAACATTTTTAGTTCCTATTTATACTGAATATATTTTTCCTAACTTTTATGTAAACAACAGTAAACCTCAATTTAATATTAATTTATCAATGCTATTGTATGCATTGATATCAATATCTTAAATAGTGGTCAAATTTCCATGATGCTAATTATACCAAAATTTGGATGAAATCAAAACTAATATACATTTAAAGATGGTTCATTAATTGTTATTCTTCAATTTATATTTTTATAAATTACTTTAATCTTAACTTTATCACTATTATTTATTATATTATTATAATAACCATTTAAGAAATACATTTTTTTTTATAAAGTATATATTTTTTATACATCTTGAATTTCAATTTTTTTAATTGTATATTAAATAAAACATGCTATTATTTTTGATAAAAATTAAAAAAATCCCTTACATTATATTATAAAAAAAAAATAGGTAATTATCTTTAAATTTGATTAAAGAACAAAAAGTAGATTTTAAATTGATTAGACCTGTCTATTATTATAAAATTTTATTTCATCTTGGAAAATGTTATACATACATTTTATTACCTTTCAATCTATAATTAGTATATTCAAGATGTCTTTTAAAATTATTTATATGTAACACTATGTGTTTTACATGTGTGATTGAGCAAAGACTATTTTGATCAGTTGAATTTTCTAGTTAAATAAAGATAAGATAATACTAGTATTAAAAACTAAATTATTTATAAATATAACTAAGTCTTTAATTTATAATGTTCATATGCACTTAATTTATTTTTTAGTCAATTTAATTATTTTAATTCACTATGAAATTAAAATATTATTTTTTTATTGAACTTAAGCCTGGTGACTAGGGCCATTAGCTGTTGTAGGAGTAAGGTTGGTACGGTAGGTTGTATTTTTTTTTTAACTATTGTTATGGTTGATAGCAAACACGTATATGTGTGGCAAGATGTTTAACCACTATGATCCCGGGTGATCACCCATCCGGGAGCTAGTAGCTGTGGCGTTACTTACTCTCAGTCGCATTCCGCAACTGGTAGCAGTCAACGCGCCATGCCAAGCCTTATAATTTAATCTGTTTTAATTCTATGGACTACTGTCATTTTGTGTTACTGTCACTGAATAAATTGTATTTACCATCATAGTTCTCATATGTATAATTAAAAATTGCATAAATGCCAAAAGCACTTTAAAGGAACCTCTTTAGAGTAATCAAAAATTTACCTTGATAAGTAATTTATCAAAATGTCATGATGATTATATTAATTAATTTATAAGTCTAAAGAATGGTTAATAAATTGTGAAAGGAAAGATCTAATTTCAAAATCTGTTGACGACCTTTACTACAATTATAGTGTAAATAAAAAAAATATGTTTTCAAATACAGAGAAAACTCGATCATTGCTTAGTGCTATGTCTACTGAGCTCGGTAATTTTAATATGATAGTTATAAATTATGATATTTGCTAATATTTTATTTTATTAATTTTAGAGGTTTAATTCAACATTTAAAATCTATTTATACAATAATTTTGCTTTCTACTTCAACTTAAGATAGACTAGTATATATGTATATATATATATATTAAACCAAGTTCACCTGCAACATCAGCACCAATAACAAAAAAACTCATTTAAAAACTCTAAGAAAATTAAAACTAATAGGAAATATAAGTGGACTGAATAAGATATGTAATACAAAGTAGTAAAGTGTTAAACCGAACAATTATTCTGACATATTTTCAAGGGTCAAAAATTAAGTTCAAATTTTGCAGAACCTAGTCGCGTTGCAATAATAACAGATATTTGAACTTTAATAAATGAACTCCTTCATTACATTAAAGGCTCACTTTTTTGACAAAAACCAAAAAGATCAAAGAACTTACGTTCTATTGAGCTAAAAAAATGGAGTGTAACCATACTGGTAATTTTATGTCTGAATTTATGACCAAAGAACTTCTAGATTGGAATATTTTGTCCAAAGTTATTGCTATTGTAATGGACATTAAACTAGTAGTCAGACTAATTAAAATTCTACATATTTCTTGCACCACTCATAAGTGGAATTTAGTAGTCCAACAGGCATTACATTTTACAAAAGATGGTGAAATTAAATAACGGCAAGGTTTAGAACTAAATCAAATTTAAAAAAAACACTGTTATGTAGCGGGGTTCTTTAAACTTCTTTAAAGCGAAGCGGAGAAATGGATATTGATTGAAAAGTATAAACAGTTATGAGTTATTCAAACATTAAAAGTTAGAACAAAAGATATTCAAATATATTGGAATAGCACATTGTACAAAATGGGTAGTAAAACTTAAAAAACCCCTCACAATTGCTATTATTTCTTTAACTGAAGCTCTATTAAGTTTTGATCGCAATGAATGGAATACAGTAGAAGATAAAATGTTATTGAAACCATTCAATTCCTTGACAGTAGAGCTTTCTTCAGAATAATATCCAGCACTTGTTAAAGTAATACCCTTGATACAAGGTTATTATTTCAATGCAGTGTACAGCCTTTGATTTAATATCAAATACTGAATCTATATTTTTCAAGAGCTACACTTTTAGATCCAAGGTTTAAAAAAGTGGCATTAGGAATTGAAGAATATGCCAATGAGGCGAAAACATGCATTATTTTAAAAATATTGTTAATGGTAAATATACAACATACTTGTAATTACGGTGTACTTCATCAAATCATCAATAATAAAACTTATATGAGTATATTTTTTTAAATATAAATATAGATTTTCTCAAAAATACAATGCCAAGAGATTTGATTTAACTCTCGACATTAGATACAACTTTATTGAAATTACCTTTTACATTAATTATGAATTACTTAAATAAATTATTGCATTAAGTTTTGATCTTTATGAGATGAGTAAAACCATTCTTTTTAATCCATAATTTTGTCTTAAAATTGACTGCATGCTTGATATTTTAATTCTTAAATCAGCATCAAAATTAAGTCTATTACAATATTTGTTTTTTATATTATAGTGAGAAGAAAATGCTTCTTTAGGTCTATAGGTTGTGCAAAAGGGGATCAAATATCTCAAAGCTTTCACGGCCAGTTACTTATGCTCATTTTGAACAAATATCCAAAATTCGAATAGGTTTTTAACATTGAAAATATTTTTTATCGTTCTGTTATTTACTATATCAATTAATTCATCTTGCTCTTGTTTGGAGAAATTTTCCATTTTTTCAATATTACAGAAAAACAAATTTCTTATCCAAACATTGTTTAAGTCAGGCTGATGAATATATTTTCTAAATGTTTCGGCCATATTCAATAAGTGTTCAGATATTTCATTCTTTAGCTTCTGTGATAGACATTCACTTGATAATTCTAAATAACCTTTTAATGTTGGGAGGTTACAGAAAGAGTGTTTTCATTGTTTTCAATATGTTTAGCTCAAACTTCAAACTTTTTTATCATTGCTTTGATTTTATCCTCAATATGGAAAACATCAATATAAATTCCTTGTAAACTCAAATTTAGCACATTCAAGTGTTCGAACATATCAGCCAAGTAAACTGTCTGACAAAGCCAAGAAAAATCAGTTAACAAGTTCATAAACCTGGTTTCAAGAAGAAATACTTGAACTTTGTTTCTCAGCTCAAAAAAACGCTGAAAAACTTTACCTCATGAACGTCATTTGATTTCAAATTCCAATGTACAAAAGAAGCTGTTTAAGGTCACTTCTTATGTCTTTGCAAAGGACTTTAAAAAGCCTGGATTGCAGAGGTCATGATTAATTACAGTTAATAATTTTCACTTCTTCCTCTAAAACTGTTTTCTTGTGTTTTGATAGCAACCATAGTTTCCCTATGAATACAACAGTGAATCCACTTTATATGAGGTGCAACTTCTTTCATATAACTAAACAGTCCAGTTTTGTAATCTGACATTGCTGCTGGACCATTAGTGGTTATTCCAACGCATTTTCCCCACTTTACACCATTCTTCATAAAAAACTTATCAATAGCTTCAAATACATCTTTTGCTGAAGTATGTAAGAGCTCACAAGAAAACAAAAAATCTTCAAATAACTGTTTTTCCCGTGTAAAACATACAAAAACCAACATAGATGACTTACTTGCTATATCTGTTTTTTCACATACTTACAGTGCAAATATGTCACACATAGATAGCCTTATGTTTTTTCAATATTGTTTGCCAGAGAGGGAGGGGTAGAACTAACCAACTTGGCTGCAGATTCACCTAATATTCTTTTGCACAAGACAATTGCAGCCAGAAGAATTAGTTCCTCGGTTATGGTATGAGGTTTACCAGATTTTATAACAAGTTGAGCAACTGTATATGAAGCTAAAGTGGCATTTTTATTACCACTTAAACTTGTTGAAGAATTCATAAATATTTGTGATTTTTTTAAATTCTTCTAACTTGGCTTTAAAAAAATCCAAAGACTTATAAGTAAAATCATTATGTTTTGATTTGAAATGACGTAGTTTGGAAGGTTGCATACTCTTATTGGGCAAGATTCTAGAGCAAATAATACACTGGTTTTGGTTTGTCTTTAGTCCCAGCAAATGTGAATCCTAATTCTAAATATTTAGTGTTATACTTTCTCACTTTAGTTACTATGGTACGTTTTGGGCTTGCAATATGGTGATTTGAATCTGAGCTACTAGATTGATTAGTACACTAAAAAAATACAAAAAATCCAATTAGCACCATTTATACACACACGCCAAGTGACAAGTTAAATAATAGAAAACTTTTTTTGATAAATAAATGTATGAGTTATTTACTTGAACTTCATTCATATCATTAACAGTATTATCTACTTCAGTGACACTTATAGGCTTTTTAAGTGAACTAGACTCAAAATCTTCATATTCTGTGTTCTCCATGTTTTCTATGTGCCATGTTCTTTTTATTGAATGCTAAAAACGTTAAAATTATGGTAAAAGTTTTATGAATTTTATACATTCTAAATTACACAATGAGTAAGTATTTACCATTTTATATTTAATATTAATATCTGTCTCAAAATTTACTAACCAATAATTGTAAAATTTCACTCTCATTACTCATAAAATATTTTTACTTATATTGTTACTTGTAATTATTTACAATAACTTAGTGGATTGTTTTTGTTTATTGATTTAGATTGTTCTTTCAAGGCAATTTTCCCTGACTGGTAGCATTTAAGTGTTAATTAATAAATCTAAACATTTATACTGTTTGCATATAAGAAAACAATATCTTAAAATACTAATTTGTGTTGATTTCCAAATATTTTCTGTTAAAAAGGACAATTTTTTACTCTAATTGAGTAGGTACTTATAAAATATTTTCCAAAATCTACTGTATCGTTTGTATCAATATTATTAATTAGTCGATTTATAACTTATGACAATTTTACTGAAAAGATTTCTCATCTGTTTCGCACAAGAATGCTTTAACAGTCTTAAAAACCATGATTTTTTTTTACCTGAATGAATTTTATTTAAATCTTTAGGTCAGTTTCTTAAAATATACTAAGTTCATAATAGCTGTATTTCAAAGATCCTATCATACAATTTCATATATTGTATACTTATGTTTTTGAAATTGTACAGAGAAGACTATGGGGCAAGTGCAACGTGAAATTAATAGAACTAGTTTAAAGTGATGTTAGAAAACATAAAATTATAAAGTTAACTACACTTAGACATGCAACATCATATTATAATGAAACCCTAAGCGCGATATCATTGGAGAAAAAAATTATAAAATTCGAATAACCTATCTGTATAGGTAAGTTTACTTCGTGGATATATTATTTTTAATTGATATTTTTTAAATACTCATCTAAGATGTCTTTAACAAGGTCTTGACTCTTCCTCAACAATATGCAAATATGTAATAAAAAAAAATAAATATTATTAATTTTTCACTGTGTGGTGTGGTTTATATAATTATTATAAAATGTGAATTGATAATTAAAATTCATTTCACAGATTTCACAATTTAGAGATGTTGTATCATTATTCATTTGCAAACGAACCGGATCTTTTAAACAATTTAAACGGTTCAAAGTTGTGAACGATATGATCCATATCGCCGAACCGGTGTGATTCTATTGAATCATCTGGTATTTTTTTTTCGTATTGGTTCATACTGATTTTCGAATCATATACTCAAGTTCAAGTCATAAACGACGCGAACTGTGAACCGTAAGAACTAAGAACCGTTTGAGGTTGAAACTACAAAAACGAGACTGAATGAGAGGCCAGTTTATCTTAATAATAATATGAATACGTTTACGTGTTTATTTTGCTCCTCTACATATTATTATAATAATAACAATAATAATAACTATTAACTTTGAGTAAGTATACAATATAAATCACATATTGTGGTTAAGAAATAATATTTGAAGACTGGAAATCAATAACGGGCTAAGTGCCAAAAAAAAATTAAGTAAGACTCAAAAAACCAACATATGTATCATCGCCAATAACTTATAAAGAAAACTTTGTGCCACTACTATAATATTACAGGTGAACAAAAAGCCCAAACGCCCCAAACAAATGTCGTGAGAGTGAAGTGTTAAGTGCCGGGTGTGATTATAACGGGCTAAGTATCATTGCATAAATTTATATTTATTTTATATTTTACCCGAATTCATTGTATATTATTGATCTGTTTAAAATAAACAATCACTTTATTGTTATGATTAGGAGACAATATTATTTTTTATTACAAACAATAAAATTGTCAATTACATTACCCGTCACGAAAACGTGTGGATGACCTCAGTGCGCCATGTGTCGATTTTAATCTAAAAACTAATGGACCTCAATATTTGATCCATCACAAGTGCGCGCCGTTGGAACTTGGAACGACAGATACTATACTTCATACGAGTTTAAAATTTTATATTTAGCGCGATACATTTTGGTCACTATCTACGAGAAATGGCCACTGGGCGCGCGGTAGTCATTCGCACGTTTTCGTAACGCGTTTTCGTTTGTTACATATGCAAGTCACAACTCACAACTGGTTTAGATATTATAAATTGAAAGGTTACGTATGATTTTGTCTTGATTATGTATTAGTTTTAGTTTTTTTAAGTGTAATATTGTAACGATGGAAATTAATAGTACTGCTACAAGAAGAATTCGACGAAAAAGAAAATCAGGTCGGAAAGAAAAACCTTATTTGAACAAAAACAATGTGCTTGCGGAAGGAAAAACTGGGTCTCAGGAAAACGTAAGTCATGTTTTGCTTTTAATTAAATTTGTTCAAAGTTAAACAAAAATTAGAGATATAGATTATAGGTATATGTGATATATTTTTAGAGGATGACTTGTCTTGTTTCAGTTTTGCTGTAAATGTAAGTTTCAATGTAAATGTGTCCCACAAAAACATAGAGATGTTTTGTTTCACGAACTCTGTGCCCTAGAAGATAATTTGAAGCAAAACTCATATTTAATGAATTTGATGGTCATAACTCCTGTTAAAAGAAGACGTCGTGATCGATGTAGTGATGTTAACGAAAGCATACGGCAAAATACGGTTTGGTATTCATTACCAGATGGAAATGGCAACATGCTACAAGTATGTAAGAATACTTTTATGCATGTTTTTGGATTATCCAGACGAAGAATCGAAACTCTTATATCAGCAAAAAAAAAAGGTGAAGTAGTATTCACAGAAAAGCGTGGTAATAAATCCCGAAGTAAGTTCACAGTAGTAGATGTGAACCTTATTACTGAGCATGTGAATTCTTTCTCAAGGGACGAGAGTCATTATGTTAGGAGAATGAATAACAAGGAGTTTTTAAGGCAAGATTTAAATATCAATAGTCTATACCATGCCTACAAGGAAAAATATTCAGACACAAATGTAACGTATGATATTTATTATAAAATCTTTAAAAAAAAATTCTCACAAGCTTCATTCCATCGACCAAGCACTGATACTTAATCCAAATGCAACTTACTATCAGCAGAGATTTTAGTAAAACCTTATGATAAAACAGCTTTATAACTACACTATAGAAAATATGAAAAATCTAAAGAAGTAATGTAACAAAATACTATAACATCTCTGTTCCCTACTAGTAACAAATCAACGTGTTCAATAGATCTTGAACAAGTTCTGTCTCTTATCGTTTTTAACCCATAGTCAGATGTTCTATTCACGGTCAGCTTTCATATTTTAATCTATATGTTCATGTTGGTGACATCAACAAATGACTCATATTAGGTGGTAATAAAATCGATTCATGCCTCTTTAACGCACTCACTAGTCCTGCTCATAATAATAATATCTCGAGTAAAAGAATACTTCCCATATGGTCAAATAACTGCATAGATCCAAAATAAAAATAAATTTATGTTATTTCTTTGGATTTATTTGACGATTACAGGCAAGTATGATGAGATAAACCATACATTTTTGGTCTCTGGCCATTCATATTGCCATGTAACAGGGATTTTTGCCAAATAAAGAAACACAAAAGGGTTGAAAAATGTCAAGTTCCTATTAACCTGATTAAACTTATGGTGAATGCTACACTGAATAATCTTTAAATAGTTATGATATACCAACTTAATGATTTTATTGATTTTAAACAAGCAGCCAATTTATACATTAACATAACAAAACTAAACATTTCCGAATGCAGTTGGTTTAAAATTGAAAAAAGAGCCGTTAAGATGAAAACAACTTTCAATGAACTTGAAACATGGAACACCTGCAAGGTTCTCAAAAAAGGGATTACAACTCAAAAAATTGGGGTCTCAATTTTACCAACACTACTGTGTCATAACGGTATATCTGTTGAAAAGAAGAGGGACCTGCAACAGATTCTCTTGTATTTGAAGGAAGAAAATTGAGTGTTCTACTAAGAATTTATTAAATAATTATAATGATTTAATATTAATAAATTAATTTGTATGTAATCTTGAAAATTAAAATGATATAAATTTATCAAAAAAGCTAGATACTTTGTTTATTGGTATTTACCTTGTTTGTGTTGGTTAAATGTATAACGCATACCACTTTCTATATTTTTCTGAATAAAATATTATTTTTAAAATACAAGGGGTAAAAAATTCAATATAATTTGGCAATAATTATATTAAAAACGTTTTTGATAAAAAAAAAAATTGAACAACTCAAAAACAACTTTTTGGCACTTAGCCCGTTATCGATTTCCAGTCTTCATTTGTGAAACTTTCGATGTAGAGAGTAAACTTCTTTCAATAACAACTTGGCTGTGGAAAATATCCTTTCTCAAAGTACTGATGTTGCAATATCGCATAGCCTCCTTCAAACAACTATGTACAATCTTGGGTCCACTTTTTTTCGCTCAGCCCACCAAACCAAAGAATTTCTCCATGGCTAATCAATGGTTTATTTAAATAGTTTTCAACTTCAGTTTAACCTGATACTGAAGAGTTGGATATTCCGATCAAATTCACTACAGTTTCGTTATACTCTTTCCTTAGTGCTGAACTTGAATGACAAATGGAGGGAGTTAGATGTAGCAACTGCTTGATCCATTTGTTTGTCCGATTCTAAAATAATCTTATGTGCTTTAGCCTTTAAAAAATGAATTGAACTCTTACAATGATTTTCATTGGAGAATGAAAATTTCTTGAACCTTGGAGCCAATAAAGCTGCTTGAAAAATTAACCGGTTCTCTTCACTATTACCAAATCTTGCAAACAACACATCCTTTAGAACCTGACACATACATTTTTCTTTTGGTAATATATTGATATTATTACAATTTAATACAAACTTATTTAATGTTTTATTAAAAATTATTTCTATTGATAAAGTTACATATATTTCTGTACCTATTTCTACTATCGCTGCATAAAAATATTCAAAATGTGTCTCGTGCGTTTTCTAATTAATCCAGTCTTGTGAGTTTAAAATGTTTAACTCTGGATTACCTAAAACTGCAAGAGTAGCAATGACTGGATATTTAATTGCAATTATTCGATTAATCATGTCGTATGTCAAGTTCCGTTGCGTTGTACAGTCCTGTTTGAGTTTTAATATAGGTGAATTCATAAACTTTTGTAGTTTTTAATTCTTCTAACTTGACTTTAAAAAAATCCAAAGACTTATAAGTAAAATCATTATGTTTTGATTCGAAATGACATGGAAAGTTGCATACTCTCATTGGGCAAGATCCTCTAGGAAATAATACAGTGGTGTTGGTTTGTCTTTAGTTCTAGCAAATGTGAATCCTAATTTTAAATATTTAATGTTACACTTTCTCACTTTACTTACTATTATGGTACGTGTTGGGCTTGCAATATGGCGATTTGAATCCGAGCTACTAGATCAATTAGTACACTAAAAGAAATGTAAAGCACCATTCATATACACACGCCTAGCACACAATTAATAGAAAAGTTTTTTTGATAAATAAATGTATGAATTATTTACTTGAACTTCATTCATATCATTAACAGTATCATCTACTTCAGTGACACTTTTAAGTGAGCTAGATTCAAAATCTTCATATTCTCTGTGTTCTCCATGTTATTTTTCTTGAATGCTAAAAACATTTAAATTATGGTAAAAATTCTACAAATTTTACACATTCTAAATCACACAATGAGTAAGTATTTACCACTTTATATTTTATATTAATATCTGTCTTAAAATTTACTAACCAATAATTGTAAATTGCACTCTCATTACTCATAAAATATTTTTACTTACATTAATAGAACTAGTATAGAGAGATGTTAGAAAACATAATATTATAAGTTAAACAACACTTAGACACGCAACATCATAATAAATTGAAACCCTAAGCGTGACATCGTTGGAGAACAAAATTATAAACTTCAATAAACCTATCTGTTTAGGTGAGTTTATTTCGTGGATATATTATTATTATTACTTGATATTTATTAAATACTCACCTAAGATCACTTAAACAAGGTCTTGACCCAACAACATGCAAATATGCAATAAAAAAAAAAAATTATTACTAATTTTTCACTGCGGGTGTACTTGTGTGGTTAATACTTAATAATTAATATTAATATGTATGATTTGCATACCTATTTAGTTTTGATAACGGTTTGCGATGTTACTGCATATTGCAGTAAAAACTCTTGAACCACTGTATTTGGCAACACCGCTTTGAATGACTCATTATAAAATTTTAGATTTAAAATTTTTCGTTATGTAAATAAATTCAACATGTGCAAGACATACTACACTGCACACTAATGATGGAATAATCCAAATAAAAATTATTGAATGATCGGATGATAAGTAATCAAAATATAAATAATTGAATTAACTTTTTAACATTATTTTACGTTATTATGTATTCATTGTATTATGATTGATTTTAAAATTTACATTATTTGATAATAATTACTTGTTGAAAGAATTAAACGATGATTCATTTATCAAAATATGTCAAATTATATGTGGTCAAATACTTTTTGATATATTTTACCATTTTTATCATGTAACTAATTTTAGTGATTAGGGTTATTTTATTTTAATATAGATATACGTCAATAACTACCAGAAATATTCGATTTATCCCATCACTAAGGCACAATCTGGCATATCGCGTTGTTCCAAGGATACTGCATTGTTTGGCTTTAGACAAATATTAGTTTATTTTACACAAGTTGAAGTTTGTAGTTTTCACTAATCAGTTTAAAAAATATAATAATACTTTTTTTTTTCAAATTGAAGAAAATTGTTCGATTAAATTATTTATTATCTATTCAAGATGAAATTTTTAAATTTAAATTATTATCACATGTAACAGCAAATATAGTTGTATAAGTGATCAAAAACAATATACATTCATACATATGTCTAATTTTTACATTTTGATCATAATATTATTGACATTATTGTATGTTATTTTTCATATAAAAATCTCAGGTTTCCACTGTAAAATATTTACTGGATAATTTTTCTGATAATGTTGACATATTGAAATCAAAATTTAAATGATTAGTTTTTTTGATGGTATATTGTTATATTGTGTACCAATGGCAATAAATTCCACAATAATGGGTTTGGATGGTGTGAGGTCTATGGTAATTTGAAAATATTAGTAATTTAACAAACGGTTAGGTTTATATTGTGATATATAGTTTTGTCTTTCTGTATGCAATTCAATTTTGGTATCTGACAACTGACAGTACTTCAGATATTCAATGATTTGTTGACTATTATCATTAACAGGCACATAAAGAATAGATGTTTTACTCATTTCCTTCTGTATTTTAATAATAACATCATACATGTGTATGACATTAATTTAACTAAAAATAATGATAAAAAGTTAAGCGTACAAGTAGTATTGTATATTTGACTAATGATATGAAATATATTGTAGAACCTTATAAAAATATTTACTATAACTATATAGGTAATAAAATATTTATTTTTTTTCAGACAATTATATAATTATTATAATACACAAAAGTAAAAATAATTATACAGTGCTTAATCAATTTTTGGCTAATAAATTGGCACATAAAAATGGTTTGAATTCAAAGTTTAAAGTTCATTATTAAGTAGTAACAGTAATATTGTTATTGAGTAAATCTATAAATAATAATAAAACATTTAAATTAAAACATAACATAAAATAATAAAAATATAAGTAAACAATAAATAAATAATGGATATTTAAATAAAAAAATTTAAGTGACATCAAAATATTATGAGATCAATAAAAACAGAATGTTAATTGTATATATATATAAAACACACAAAAAAAAAAAAAAAAATGAAACATTTAAAAAAAACAGTTTAAAACAAATCTAGAAGATTACTAGGTCTTCCAGTTACTTCCCATACAGTAGCTGATAATCTCCGAGAGTGTTCTAACACACAGGAAGCAGTTGCTAGTCCTAAATGTACACAGAATAGTTCAAAACAGCGTACTTTTCCTTTAGGTATTCTTGGAAAACATTGTTCCATAAGCTTTCTAAAAACAATTAATTCACTTGAAAAAACTTTCAACAGACAAAACCATTTTATTTCCACTCACTCATAGTAATCACCATTTAATATTCCTGGAAATAACTCTGAAGTTGTGGGTTGAACTCTTGGTTTTATCGATGTACCCTAAAATCAAAATTTATAGTCAAATAGGGACCAAATATTATTTCTCTAAAAATATGCATTTATTTAATTTCACAATAAAATATTCTTTAACCTTAAAAATAATAATATATTGATAGTAAAATGTTATAAACTTCTAAATTATAATTTGTATTCTAGGTAATAAACTAATAAACAATAGAAAACAGTCAAGTAATATGATATTTACAATAATTTAAAACTTTTAAATACAATATGTATTAATATATACAGAATGGTTTTTTTATAAAACAACACTCATCTTTTCAAAATATATTAATGTTTTTGAAAATATTTTTTTTTTAAATAATTTTTAGTCGTATTATCTTGCTTGAAAATTAAATAATTAACCTTGAAAAATAATTGTAAAAATAGTTGTATTCTTAAATAACAAGAATGAAGAAATTATCAGTTTCTCATATTGAAATATAAAATATTTTAAATTTATTTTAAAACCACTTACTGATTGATCTTCAAACCACAAAAAATAGGAATATGTAAAAGTGTTATCTTTCCATAGAACAATAAAATGTCCATCTCTCAGATGCTGTCTACTAAAATCGATCATAGACCATACCTAAGTAAAACAAAATATTACATTATTTTTTTTTTTATATAATGACTAAACTTACAAATAAAAATACATATTCTTGGTTAATTTATGAAATAATTTATTCTTTTTACCTTTTTTTTAGTGAGTTCAAGTGTTTCTTGTGATGCAAACTCCAACCCTGGAGCTATCATACGATGAGACATTCGATCTACATAGATAAAATGTACTAGACCTGGGAATTCTTCTAAATATTTATTAATATTTAATGTCGACCTTGTAAAAGAAACGGAATTAAAGAAAATATATTTTATCTCATTTAAAAGAAAAATGCCTTCAGAATAAAATTAAAAATAAACAAATGTAAATAGTAAGAATACAGTATTTTTGTTCTATATCATGCTTAATATTTACCTAAATGTTTTTATAATTTATTATTTAATTTAAAAGGATATGATCTCATTGTGAAATTATTCATCGCTTTCACCTCAAAAAATGAAGTATAATCACGTAACATAACAGCGACCACTGCAGAAGCTTCATTTACTGCTTCTTTTGTATAATTGTCAATCAATGATTCGTTGAGCATACAATGATGATGAAGATTTTTTAGACTGCATATAATATTTAAGTTGCTTGATTCTATAGCAACTAATGATGAACTATCATTATTTTTAAAGTACTCGATGTATTTCCTAAAAATGAAAATTAATTTTTGTAATTTATTGGCTATTACTTATTACTAAAAAAAAAAAAAAATCCACATGTCAATACTTTTTTAATGGCTCCCATCTGGTAGCTAAAGTGGTAATTATGGCAAGAACACTTCGAGTTGGAGCAAATGGGGCATTTTTCTTTTTAAACAAATCAATAATTTTTTTCATGGAACTATCAACTGTATCATAAGCAATTTTAAGTGCTTCACGATCTACAGTTCCTCGAATTTGGATTTCTTGGATTGAGCAAAATGATGTTAATGCATCAATTACACTACTATTAAAAACTTCATTACCAATCTAAAACAAATAGGTAATAATAGAAATTATTATTAAAAGAAAAAAAAAAGGAAATAATACTTAATTAAACTAATATTTAAGTGAATTCAATATTACCTCATGAATGATAAATAATGGAACACCATCAGTTATATATGATAAATGTACAGCATTTAATTTTAATCCATTTTGACCCAAAAGAATCAGTAAACTGTTAATTTTGTTTCGTGGCACATCTGAATAAAACATAAATTAAATACTTACTTTTAATTTTTAACTGTATAGTATGTTTAATTAGATCATTTACTATAATTGGAGCCATTTTTCCATTTTATAAAACACATATTATCAGTACTGAATCTATGAATTAGACAAATAAACGATGCATGCATAAAAAGAAATAACAGATACTTAGTTATTTTAATTAATTGATAAAAAAAGGTAAGTCAACATTTATATGGCTTGAAACCAAAAATCTATTAACTTTCATTAATAAAAAATAATATTATATTCTGAGATTTTAATATTTTATAAATTATTAATGGTATTTAATAATTATTAAAAGATTAAATTAACATAGTTAACTTAATCTATTATAATACAAAATTGAATTATATTCATGTTTATTAATCTTAAGTTAATAAACGTCTCATTAGATATATAAAATATGTGAATTAACTGAATATATAATACAAGTAAACTAAAATGATATTTAAAAAAATAAATATTTTGAACAAAATATTGTCCATTTATTTGTTAAAGAAATCAAGTATTAAACCAAGATATACTTAATGATATTTATAGTCAAGTAGTACAAATTATTATTGATTATTACATCATATCATGATCATAAAATAAATTAAATTATTTTTTTAATAACTAATAAATTAATTATAAATTGAATTTATTCTGTATATTTTTTTAAATATATACACCATCAATAACCAAAAGAAGAGTAAATGACTTGTAGCTTATACCTATTTACTTTGAAACTATTATACAAGAAAGATACACTATGGCTCAAAAAATATAAGATAAACTAAGTATTTTATTTTTTTAAAGGAATTTAAAAACATTTCTTACTATTTTCCAACTGTAGTGAATCGTCTTTTTCCACAATAATTACATCAAGATCTGATTTATCCTTGGGTTCCGAATCAACTGATTGTATAGCCTCAGCTAATAGTGCTAAGAATAATGTATCACCCGCAGCCAGATCAGTTGCATTGCGACTGAGATCAATAAATTAAATAATAACAATAAAATTATAAGACTTAAATCTTTACTTGTTCATAGTAAACATTAAATGAAGAATATAATAATTACCTAGAATACAAAGTCAAAAATTTTTGTCGAACCATTATGAGAATATGAACCCTAGAAAAGGCAGATTTTGTTTTCATTTTTTCGGCTGCTGTTTTAGCAGCAGTTAATGCAGCTGTAGAAAGTTCTGCACTGACAGTTAATTGTTCAACGGCTTCAATTAATACACATTGTTCTTCACTTGAACGTTTTAACCAAACGTCTAAAAGCTTAGAAACCAGAAAACGACGACGGCGACTATATTTCAATCTACGACACAATAGGCATATATTATAATATCATGTACCTTTAAACATATTTTAAACTTACAATGAAACATCAGAACCACAGATTCTTTTTATAAATAAAATTGATACACTAAGTATTTTTTGTTGCCAAGACACCTCCATATCACCAATATAAATGAACAAATGACCCAAGTACTGGTAATAAATAAAACAGCACTTAAATATATACCAATACTTAAATGTATATGCATATTTATTCTATAACTAATTTATTTACCTCATCAAAAACAATATTTGTTCCATTTTGACACTGCATTGAGGTATACCGATTTGAAAAATGACAATTCATAATTCTCTGAGACGTAACCATTGGTGAAAAAATCTGAAGTATTAGATCTGAATCAATTTTTTCACAGTTTTCATTTTCATTCTTAAAAACATACAACAGAACACAGTAAAATATTTGTTTTTGCAATAGTAGGTAAATGTGGATTAAAATACATAGTTAAAAAAACAAATACAACTGAAGGGTTTTGTTAAGTTATCATTTGTTGAACAACTTGAATTTAAGTAGAACTCCATTTTAAATAAACTATTAAATGGTTGATAATAAATAGCCATCGAGTTAAAATCAATAGTGTAGAAATAATATTCTACACCAGCAATATCAAACAAAAACTAAAGTACAACACTACCTACTGTCTAGGGCCTACGTCTATCTATGAAATATAAAACCAAACACCTATATCGATACTTAATACAAATTGGGAAAAATATATATACCTCTGTTGGTTTTATAAGGTCTTGCGAAATCCCGATTTTCCGAATGTGTTGGCAGAATGCAATGTCGCATTTCATGAACACTATGTCGTTTAAATTGTCAAACACCATAAGACACCGCATTGTTGTTGTTCGACGACGAGAACGACACAGGCTGAAAACAACAAACAATATTGGGCACCCAAAAACTTATAACGACAGACGACAGCGTCAACGTCTGCAGTTGTCGGCCGACGACTGTTGGTCGTAAATAGGACTAAAAACTTTGATCGGTTACGTAAGCAATGACTGCGTAACTTCAAAATAACATGGCATAATACTATACGAGATTAAGCAATAAGCGATGAAGATTGAAGATACCTGTTATCGAATTACGTTGCGTACTATAAGCTAAAGCTGCTATTTGAAACACAGTCGATATCAATAAGCGAATGCGCGCGCAGCCGGTGTCCGGTGGTCGTGCCGTGGCGCCAGTCGGCGAATTCGAAGTCGGACAGTCCAGTCTTATCAGCGGCGGTAATAGCACAATAATATTATTATCTTTGGTGTGTTCGACCCAAGTCTCGTAAATCATAAAACCGAGTCGACGACGATGTAAGGCAGGGGTCGGCAACCCGCGGCCCGCAAAGCAATTTTTGATGGCCCGCACAAAGGTGGTTAATTTTTGTGTTTTACTTTTGTTCAATAACATTTTTCATATAATTTTCAATATTATATAATTCTTTTTCCTTTATAAATAAAATCTAATCTAACCGTTTCATAATAGCAATACAATTATAAGTATTATATCATAATATGTAATTTTTTTTTTTAATGTGGCCCTTGATGAACAATTGAAAAAAAAAATGGCTTGTGTGGTTAAAAAGGTTGCCGACCCCTGATGTAAAGGATCGTTAAATGTTTTTTCAGCTGTATTGGCGGACGATTTAATTTAGGTACAGCCGTAAAGGTATATATTGACGTATTGTAGGTATATTATTCATAGCAAACGGTCGTACTAATCAGTGGCGTTCTACGGCCTATACACTTCCACTACGTTTATAACGGCCGATACGCCTTCCGGGGTCACGCTCCTGGTGGGGAGACCTTATTTTTATCTATCAATTTTTCATCATCGTTTGTTGTTAAAATAAAAACAAATACTTTTTTCTGTGCGAGTCAAGTTGATCGACAACAACAAAAACAACAAAATATGGGATGATATAATCCCAAAAGCATTACTTGTTTAACATCGTCAAAGCCGGGCGAATTATGAATAAGCAATAACATTTATAACTTATAAGTACCTATATAATATACGAATTCCTATTATAGCCTATAGGTACACACAATGAATGAATGGTAAAATATTTTTTCCCCTCATAACGTACCTACTTCGAGAATGGTCAATAATTATTTTCTCTCCTTCTACATTATTTTATTATTCATTGTAAGTTGTAACATATCATCGTATTAAATAATACATCAAAAGAAAGGCAGGCAGATAATATTAATTATGATTTTATGATTTATTACTTTTGTAAATATATAATTGATTTATAAAATATGTATATTTTAAAAATTGTGAATATCATTAAATTTTATTCTAGTTAAACCATTGATTAAATATATTATATTTTTAATCAATGGATAATTTATTAAATAACCAACACATAAATCTATTAACTATCTTTAATTTTATTAAATAAATAAATTATGTATAAATGATTTAGAAACTCCATTATCACCAATACGAGGTACCTACTAGTTACTACATCAGTGGTGAATTGGGTCAAATAATATAAATTTGTACTTCTATTTGTAAAAAAAAACTTATATCCCCCTCCTTTTAGAAATACTAAACACGACACTGATACCTTCTAAGTACATAAATATATAATATTACGTATACTTGAAGGAAAAATGCGGACCCTGTTAATTCCAATAGTTAGATATATATATATATACTCGTATATATTTATATGAGTGAGTGAGTCCATAAAAAATCTGTTACTACAGTACTATTTAATTAAGATTTGTATACTACCGGAGACTGGACTATACATTATATAGATATAATCTGAAGTGAAACACTTAATTTATATTTAAAATTTAAATGTAGATCGGTAGACGGTAACCTATATGACAATGACAAGTCATTGATAACTAACACAATTAATAATTATAAAGATGAAATATGCTGATTTGATGTGTTAACACTAAACTGGGTACTTATATTTTTTTAAAATTATAAATGGTATAAATTCGAGCTAGGTTGAAATTGTTTTGATCATATATTTATTATTTTATCATTATTATTCAGATAATATCATAAAACTCATACTCCAAAAAAGGGTTTTTTCATTTAGTTATTATTAATTGATGAGAATTCTTATATCACTTGTATACCTATATATCGACCTAAGTTAAAATACTTGGTAGATTGATTCATAAAATTTACTTTTTTACTTCAAAATAATACTTATATGTTACTATATTAGGCAATTATTATTAATAACTAGAAAACTGATGAAAGTATGTAACTTAAATTAAGGAATGATTATGTTTAGTGCCCTAAAACATCTACCAACAGTAGAAAACTCAACAATGCTTCCCATCTCTAAAGCGCATTTTGAGCCTAAAAAGTACATTCCCTCAGTCCCCCAACATAAAAAATAAAAAAATCCAATTAGATAATGTTATAAACCGAAGTTGAAAGATAATTTTTTCAAATGGATTAGGATTAAGAAGTATGATTTCTAGGTCTTTGTAAAAAAGGAGTAAATTTTTACCTTTTGAATAACATATTATGACATTGAATATTTAAATACATTAAAATAAATAGGTATATAATAGTCTTAAAATCGATAAAAATGTTTTGTAAATTATTAAATAATATATAATGTAAATGTATTAATGTGGCTAACATTGTAACATGTATTAAATTGTAATATAAGGTACATTATTATAAAAGTAACGAGTCTAAAGTTTTGAATAAATTTAAATTTGTTTAATTTCATATGAAATTTTCTTTTTAGTTTTTAAAATAACGGTAGGTACTTGTTTGTTATCACCCCGGCATAAATAAAATAAACAATACAATAAATAAATAAATTATACAAATTTTTAATAATAAAATAAATGCAAAAGTAAGTACCTATATATTATGTACAATATATATATATTTGATCATACCTAGTTAAAAATTATGGAGGACATATGGACTGCAGTAGTCCGGGTTTGTACTATTGGTGATTTCTTTTTAATTTTTTAAGCAGACCCGATTTCATTGGACTATAATTAGGATTTTTTGTACAAACTCTGATAGTAATATTACAATAATTAATATGGTATTAAGTATCTATAAGTTTATCATAATCTACATGATATATCTACTATATGTATAAGTTAAATGAGGATTAGAAAATTGGAACAAAAATAATTCTGTAAAAGCAAATAACGACTAATGTAATGTATATTTATTTTGTAGTCGGGTATTCGAAAGGAAAGCAGAGGAAAGGAGAAGCCATTGCGTGTTTGCGAAGCGACCTCGAGATATAATTCTAGCCTCCCACTCGCCACCAGGGAAAAACTTACCCATTCGGCCATCTCATAAGTATAGTGTTCTACTTATATATTCTACAACGCTCATACGATCTCGTGACCGGACATCGTGTTCGGTATAATATGTGATGCGAAAACCGATACTCAAACGAAACATAATATATAAAATAAGTAATTACTATAATAAGTAATGTATAGGTAATATGTGCAATCAGAATAAAACTGTCATCCGAGTTTCGCGGCCACATTGAAATCATAATATTCAATAATAAACATGTTATACAATAACATTAATTAATATCTAACATAATTCTTTTGAATTCTTCAACACGATAATAAAATTGGACACAGTGGCGGCTCGTGGTATGGTGCACAGGAGCACGTGAACCACCCAAAAAAATTATATAAAAAATTATTATATGCCATAATAACATAATATAATTGATGATTATACAAATGGACTGTAATTAAAAAAATTATTAATAAAAACAAGTTTTTGCAGCTTTTATGTTAAGAAATATATTTATAAACGATTAAATAATATCGCGGAGCACAAGTTGTTTGTGCTCCGGGCGGCCGTATAAAAATTAGCTACATGCCTCAACACGCCGGTTAGTAATACATGGCAATTTGGAGCACATTTAATGTGTGCACCGATCCTATTTTATTGTCGCGCTATCGCGATATCGTGTCATTCGTCGAAACGATAACACATCAATGCATCATTGTACAGTATCCATCAACTGCTGCCAGTGTGCAGCTGTCAAATCAACTAATAACTACTATAATATCCATTGACTTATTATTATTATTATAATACGTCTATGATAACATCAACGTTCATAATATAAAAACAAATTAAAATCATATTGTTATGATTAGCTATTATTTGCCATTAGTTTCGTCAAACAGCGTGTCGTGTACGGTTTGCGTTTAATAGTTTCTTTGTACGAATATTAATATTATTAATTTTATACTTTTATCAATTATTTTTCGTGGGTACCTGTAGTTTTAATTTTGTGTTTGTAACTACCAATCAAACAATCAAACATGGTTACTATTGAATATTTATTAAATAACAGTTTTTCTCGAAAATCTGGTGATAATAATTGGGTACAAAAAGGTATTATAAACGATTTGGCTCATTTAAATTTGAAAATCAAAATGCATGAAAAATAAACTTCTCACATTAGTTCACATTTGAATGGGGTAAAATGCTTAAAAAAATTTAATTTAGATAAGATAAGTAAGTACGTTATTTTGGTATTATTCGTGGTATGTACCTATACCAAAATAAATTTTTTTACCATCTAACATAGATATCTCATAAATTTTTTGTGCACCACTTAACGTGAACCTCACGAGCCGCCACTGATTGGACACGTATAAGACGCACCAACAAGAATTGTTTACACTTGTCCCATTGCTTTTCATGAAAATATAATTGACAATTGGTACCGATTACAGTTTTGCCATATTATTTTGCTTTCATTAATTAATTTTTAAATCATCACTACCTACTACCTAGTGTCTCAAGCTTAAAGTATTTGAAAATGCAATCATATAGTAACCAAAATAATACTCCCGACTAAGTATTTTGTTTTAATACTTAACAGTATGTTGCAAGTATTTTGATTCTTTTAAACTTGTTCTCGAATTTTGATTCCAATAAATAACCATTACGTATTCAAGACCTATTGTACTGAGAAACTTAAAGTACCTCAGTGCCGGGTTTAAAGGGGGATATTATTAGGGCATTTGCCCCTAGTCACTGAAACATAATTGATTTTTAAAATGTAAAAAAGTAAATACTAGTATCTACAAAATAATATTAATAAAAGTATCAATAGTATCGCATGATCATTCTGAGAAAATATTTAATTTGTGATAATTTGTCATTTAACACGTCATATTTAACTCTTTATAAATAATAAAAGTAATTGTAGTTTAAAATATTGTTCTAGCCATTTATATTACTATTATTATTATTATTATTATTATTATAGAAGTATCATTCTTACCAATGGCCTCGCCTAATACCACGCCATCAATTTATCAGAAGACAGCAATGTCAGTCACTATTATCTAAACACAACTGCCACTTGTTTATGAATATATGATTGTGGCGTTGTCTGTAGTCTTAGAAGTCTATTTACCACAAGATTTGATTTGTATTCCATTATCAATACTAAAACTGAAACTTGAAAACAGGAATACAAATTCTATTCCATTAGTTAAGTAATAACTATAATATGGTCTATGCTATTACGCACATTATTATTTTGATGTTAATTAAATCTATTATTTTAATGAATAAACGATTTAAATTTATTATTTCGTAATATATAGATTGGGTAGATGTGACAAAAACAATGGAGAGATTCATTTACTGTTTAGGAAAACAATTCACTCAATTTCTTTTACAATAAATTAAATTGTACTATTTTGTCTCATACCATACGGCTAACATTAAATAATTTGTCGAATAAAATTTTACTTGTACACATGCTTTAAAGATTAATTGAACATAATATGCTCTACTGTTTATATCATAAAGCGTGGGCCTTAAAATATTGTTTGCCTCGGGCTCCTAAAAATATAAATTTAAACAATATATTATATTGTGTAACTGTAATGATCATAATATAATTTGTTTACGGCATCTAAGCCACACATGTTTATGTGATGTCTTAGCAATTATACACTCCATAATAAAAAAAAAAAAAAACGGTAAAGCGCCAGCGACTTGTCATTATTACTCGAATTGATTGTTTGTTTACAAACGGTCCGTCGTCACGAGAACTAATCAAAACGTTGTAGGCTCTGCTGTAACGCATAACAACACTAAAGGGTGGGAAAAAAATAAAACGTAAAATTCATTTTTATTATAGCACCAAAGACGGTTCACTATATTAATATATTTTCTTCATTAAAATCTGTACAACACACACATACACGGTTTCTAATAATGTTTATAATACAACACAATATTATGTTAGATTTAACAATACATTTCACTAAAAATATTTACAGTAAATGCATAACAAGGATAAATTAAGACTTTTAAAGTTAATAATAACATAATATTAAACTACGATATATATTATTAGAAAATTCATCTCTGCACAGAGGTACAAGGGGCGCACGCGCGCGCACACATACATAATAATAATATTAAATAATATAGTATTACATATTGTTGTATGATTAATATTATTTCAGTTTAATTTGTTTGTGCCTATTTATGCCGTTACATTCGTCGTCATCCGAGACTTTTGCGATCCAAATCGGGTTTTGTTTTCACTCGATCGGAGTGGCGAATATCAGAACACTGTGAATGGTGACTGGAGTGACGGGTGGGGGGAGGTTCTGTGTGCGAACTGCGAGTCCGAATAGTAGTTTGATTCTCTGATTTAATAAAAATATTATCGTCCGCCTTTTATAAATAAAAAATATATTCTAACCGCACGCCTTAACAAACGAATAAAATATTATTACAACATAATAATATCATCTTACAATCTACCATTATTATTATCATGTTTTGACGGAGCATCGCCAACGGGGGTTGGCGAACGACGGATCTCGTCGACTAGAGAAGACCGTTTGAGATGGTTTTAGTGAAAACAATAAAATACTATGACTAAATTATGCTCGTCTCGACTTATACAATTTCGAGTAGATATTTACACAGAAATATTAAAAAACACACACACGTTGTTCGAGAATAAATAAGTATAAAACACATATACAAACACCCACGTATAGAGCCGATGCGACTTCGACGTATGAGCGATTGGTTTGGAGAGAAGTGATAAGACGTGAGGCGTTCTGATTGTAGAGATCTGACGGGCTAACCCCATTTAAATTGTTTCTGTGTTTCAGTCAAAATGTTTTATCTACAGTTTTCCTTAGACTGCATGCACACGCTTAAATGCGGTTCTGTTTTACTATAATATATTATATTTTATGATTTAGTTGTCTTATGGTAATTTATTTTAATTTTTTTTTTTTACTGCACCTATCATATAAACATATATATTTTTATTAAATTATTATGTAATATTTATTTTAAACGCGTTAACATTTAAATTTAATTTTAGTCTCTGATGAATTCCTTGAGCGCGCGCAACTGCTGCTCGCCCAGCTGTATTTTGTCCGCAATCTCGCGTGCGTCGATCAATAGCTTGGCTTTCATCGCAATGAAATGATCATAGTCTGAGTAATCGTCGGCTGTTAAATATCGTCTCAATATGGTTGACACAAATTCACCGCGTCTGTCGATATTTCCCTTAAGCGCCTTGGCCTCTTCCAGTTGTTCAGTCACCTTACACTTTTTCTCCTCCAGCATCTTCTACAGGACGGCAAAAAGAAAAAAAAATGTTAAATTTTTTATTATTATTACTATCATAATTTATATTAAAATTAATTAATATAATTGTTATTTGCATAATACAGATAAACCAATGACACTAATCATATAGACCGTGAAATTCAAAAGCAAGTGAGCCCTTTAGTAATTAACCATAGAGAACTTTACGGAGTCGGATAAATAGCCGGAGAAGAATTCCACTTCAACCTGGCTGTTAGCTAAAAATGAACCTTCAATGATCGACAGTGGAAAAATTAAGTTTAGATAAACAGTACCGATTTTATTATAATGATATATATTATGAAAACTAATAGTTTTCGATCAGTGTATCAGACATATGCGTTATGTGGTCAAATTGTAATTAGATTAAAACTAAGAAAAACTGGTGGATTTATATTTTTTCAATACTGATTTTGTATAAACATTTGTGACACACTATAATATATACATTATAACATTACTATAATAGTTTATTCCAGGTCGTAAAAAAAAAATGATTAATTCAAGGGTTCGTTAAAATTTAATGGGCTAATCGCATGCCACTATACCGTGTCGGAAAATCACATTAACCGATATAGATTCGGTTAATGAACAATCGTGTAATCTAGCTCAATAAAAGTCACATGAAAAAAAATATATAATTATCTTATTATACTTGATTCTATTAAAAAAATACCACCTAGAGAGTATTTCGGTCACAGTTTTACATAATTAAGCCTGTGTGACACACACGGTCTCATACTAACGATTATTATTATTATTTTACCTTTTCCGGATGGTCCGCGTCCAAGTTGAGCAATTCGTTTTCCACTCGGGCCAAACGTCCACTCAGGCTCAATAGTAGACTGGTAATGTGGCCCACTTCCTGTACGTGAGTTTTGAACCTATTGGCTTCCTGAGGTTTGGCCACAGATTTAACTCGATCGGCCACCGACACGCCAAGAGTTTCGTTCAGCGTCGTCTCTTCAGCCAGTGCAATTTGTTCATCTCGGAGTACCTTCAGCTTTCTATCTAGTCGAGATACTAAGTCCGCCTGAAAAATGGTTTTTCTTGTTAGCTGGAAATGTATGTACTTTTTTTTACGAAAACAAGTTTACTGTTACGTAATTAATATTTCAATATTATATAATATATAAATCTTAAACACCGTTTATCGTGATAAAATAAAATATATTATTTTGTACTCGCCTTTTTCTTTTGCAAGTTTCCGATCCCGTTGCATTCGGCTGGAGGTTGTATCTGCCGGCTGCAGGGCTGCGGATTCAGGAGTTTCGTCTTAGGTTCGGACGTAGTGTAGTAGGATGAGTTGGCCGACAGTCCGGCGGCGGTGGTAGTTGAGGAGGTGCTTATTGTGGAGGTATTTGGGCCGCTGTAAACAAATCGTAAAATATCAAAATAAATCCATCTCACATTTTTAATTTTAATTTTAAACAAACCAAAAAAATCTTAATTAGGTATCAAATAATAATTAAATAATATTGACTTTCTATAATAAATGATAGAAATAATTTTTTTTTAAAACAAATAATTTATAAAGATTAGAACGAATAACTCAGATAGACACGTGGAATACATGAGTTATAAGATAGACTATCTTATGAATGATTTAATAATGAAATTTGACCGTCGTGTAAAATAAAACCATCAGTTGCTATGACGTGTTAAACCCGTCGACGAATTTACGTGGTTGTATTTGTAAACATGAACTGTATAAATGTTTAATTATACATTAATACCTACATAAAATTATGTACTGTCACCGTTATAGAAAATATATTAACCATTTGCGGTGCGGGTATAATGAAGTCGATAATAATAATGTATGTACACGTTATAATGAAGTCGATAATAATAATGTATGATAATTATTCGAACAGGACATTAAAATAATCATCCTACTTAAAGCGTACGGTATGAGTTTAATGTACTTACGGAAAAATTAAAAATACGAGCGATAAAATTCGGGGACTGAATATTTAGTTTTTTTATGGGTTTATATAGTAATATATTAAAAGCTCGTATCTAAACCATATGGCATACACATAAATTATAAAACTATAGTAAAAACACAAATTATATTTAAACTTGATCTCTTAAAATTAAGTATATATTGTACCTAAATATGTTAGATTTCATTTTAATGCGACGACATCATCCAATGGAATTTAACCGACTTTGGCCACCGTTGACCAGAGATTACAATTTACATATTTTTATTTTATTAGGTAGGTATTTTACACAAAAATAAATCGAGACCGATGAGAATAATGCGACGATATACTCAAGATGATTGCACCACACGTACTGTTCTGACACATATGTGTGTACATGGTATACACTTAAAGCGCCACTTGTTCGGAATAATTCAGTATAACAGTGATAAAAAAAATAAACAATACCTACCTAAAGAGTGTGCATGCGGTAATATAGATAAGAAGTTGTATACACAATACACATAATAAGATAAATATGCTGATAAAATATTATATAAAACATATTATTATACAGATCAACGTGTAATAAATAATTAACAGATACTAAAAATTCAACGAAATCGAAATTAATTTGATTGTATATCTATTATTTTACAATAAATCCTGGGTGCCCGAAATAATAGTAAATGTATCACAGATTTTTTGATGCCTTGCATTAGGCTCCCTTAAGCCCCGAGTCCCGTAAGCCGATCGACATCGTGACGTTTATTACATTTTCGTTTGGTTCAATGCACGCACACCGTTATGTCCCCAATCCGGCGGCAGGTACAAAAATATTTTACCAAAACACTTTTGAACGTGATTTAATATCGGATTTAAAAGCGCACGTTTTCCGACTTGTGACTGGTATTAAATGGAACACAGACTATATTATATTGCGATGACGTGTCGTTGAATTCTGTTAGGATTATCTACCAGAGCCTGGCTGTGTTAAGTATATCACGGCGGTTACCGGTTATACACGGTCTGAGGATTATTCCGAAACCAATGGGCCCATACAAGATCGTAGTTAAATACTCGAACGTTATTTGTAATAATATAATGTGTTGTTTGTATATTATATACCTATATGTGACTGCAGACGAAACGTCGTCATGTACACACCACTTTAAATAATCCTTTGTGTATTTTACGCATACATAATTCGTCACATTCATTATACCTGCATTTATATTAACTCGACCGCCATACACACGGGATTCGGCTCAAAATTGTATTACCATAAAAAATATCATCGCCGTAATTACCCCACGCAGTGCTAATCAGTCATCACCACTAGAGCATTATTTATTGCTCGTATCGATAACGTCACGTCGCATGTTAGGTCTCTATGAAACGAACGTCAAACAACCGATGTACATGGGTAATATTCATAGGGCATAGACCTTATATTTATTTAAATGTATTTACTATTTTATTAGAACAATATTTTCTATTAGATAATTTACATCACTGCTTTTACCACACCACCCACCCTCATACTAACCGGATGTTCCGTCTATGAGTATATAAGGTCTATGGTAATACCGCATATGCTTATTACGGTAATTTATTATAAACCTACACGCACGGCGGCAAGTGCAACACACAATATTTTAATAATTAATAATTCGTTTATATTGTAACAGTACACTTATATGTAATTAATGTGAAACCGAGTCGAGTACGTTAAGTAAGCTTAACGATGTTTTTTCCCCTGCGAGTTTTATTGTATACAATCAGTTTAAAAACTAAACATAAACCGCGTCCTCTCAAACATACATTACGTTATTATTTGTGATCGTGAACGGTTTGTAAACATAAAACATGACTTACCACGTGGCGTCGATGCTTCTGCAGTCGGTTAGTTTTTCCGCGACAGAATTTCTGGACCTAGGCACCAAGTCCATGCGGAACAGCGGAGAAACATAGTCAGTAGAACGTTTGGCGTCCGGTCCGGGAGCTGAAACGGAATAAATGTGACGAGGTCAGACATGGAGGATAACGTATGGGCACGCAAATAATGGTTTTACCTTTGTCCTTTATTTCTGCGCGTTGAAGAGCAGCGAGAAAACGAACAACACAAGACAGATTAGAATATAATGCACACGGATTTCAAGGGAATGATAATTTTGGTTTTATTGAAGGTTTACGGTAGTATTTAAATATATATCAGCGAAAATGAGACAAACAGATATACCCTCTTCACCATCAATTATGTTGGGAAAACGAATAGTACATGATTAATGTATATAAAATCTATACAATTTAAAATTGGAAATTATCGAAAGATTGAATTAATGAATATCGATTTTAAAACCGTTGATACGATTCATTGACATTACAATGATAAAAAGTTTTTTGCTCAACACTGCAGTACTACAATATGTAGCTGTTACACAATATTAAAAAGTAAAATCAATCGAAAAACGGGACCGAAGCTTTTAAGTAGGCAAATACACAAGAATCCGCGTTATGCATATACAAATTATAATGTAATAGACCATATAGTATTAACTCACTTATTATTTTGAGAAATTTGTTGTACGGTGACAGCAGGCTGATGAGATCGCGGGACAGTTCTTCGCATTCGATCTCTTCGGGTGACTTTCGCCGGACTGCCGACGGGATGCTGTCAGCGATTGACTTGATGTCCGTCTGCGAAGTGGCATCCGACGACGCCGCCGAACAGCTCCTGGACACCGGGTTGGGGTAACGGTGGTCATTGGCGGTCACGGCGACTGCGGGCTCGGCCGTGTGCCAGGTAGAAGTGCAACGCTCGTCGAGGTCATCGGCAGTGGCGGGTTCGCTGGCTTCCGACGCGGCCAACGGCGAGTGGATCAGCAGTGGCGGCGCCGGGCCGCCGGGACCGAAATCGCCGGACTACCGTCGGCAGGTCGGACTGCGACCGTTTCTGCAGATGCAGGCTGGACACGGACTCGGAGTGTCTGGGCGGCGGCATCATCATCAACTGCAACTTGGTGATGGCCGAGTCCGCCTTGTTGGGCATGTTGGAGGGGTCTGACTGAGTGCGGGGAGTCCGGGACGACCGTTTGAAATCCTGTCCAACCGAATTGTTGGTGCGTGGCAGAGTTTTTGACAGCTGTTGTTGCTGTTGCGGCGGCTGATCGACGACTGGCCGCTCGGACAACACCGTCGGAGGCGGTGGTGACGGTGGCGCGACAACCGCGGCCATTGCATCGATGGACTGCTGTTTGCCGGGCGGTGACTGTTGTTGACTAGTTACTGTGTTGTTATTGTTGTTAAAGTGGTTGATGTTTTGGTGGTGATCCAGCTGCAGGGATTGAAGTCGACCGCCGCCCGAATCCAAAAGATTGTTGCAGCAGTCGCTTCCGTCTGGCGCCACGTTTTCCGCATCTGTTCACACCGTACATTTTGTTGTTAAACGAATGAATACAATTTATTTAGTCTATCGTTGCTTTATAACTTTTTACTTTTAGAGATAATAACAGTTAGCATGTGGGTTATTTGAAGATAAATACTGTTAAATTACAATTAAATATTATTTTTTTTTTCAAATAAAATACGTACATGAATAGAAGAAACAATAGTGCGCTTATAAAACGATTTCTATCGGTTAATCGAATTTTGTGTAATGATTTCATCTCGTGTTCAAAACGTTATTTAATCTTTGCACCACGTAAAATTGAAAAAAGTCTACACATTTTTATATTTATTCATCACCAAGGCCGGAAACATTCAGATAGTATCGCTTGTACTATCGTAAGTCGTAGGGCAAATTTATTATTTATGTATATTATAAAATAAAATTGTATAATAATATTCACCTAAAAACCGGTTTATTATTATAATTCTTTTTTTTTGAATAATCGCTTTATAGTGTTTATGTTAATTTAGATAATCGCAGCACACAACAATTACCTTTCTTTTCAGTAATGTCGATAAATAAAATATATAATTTATTGCACTATTTAAAACTACAGTAATTAATTAGTTACACTAATTGGGGTTTTCAAGAATTTTTACTTATATGGAAAAAGATGGGCTTTTTGGCTTACCTTGCGGTTCCACGGCCGTGGCAGCATCTCGTCCTCCACTGTTCGGAGACGCCGTTCTCTTGTAGCTTCCTTCAAAGTTAGGAAGTCCTTTTTCACGCTCCCTTGGCTCTCTCTTGTACGCCGACAGATACGAAGCCTTCGATTGACTCCTGCGGAACAAACGTTTTGTACATTTAAAAAAACCGTTCACTTTTTTTTTAACTCGTAATAAAAACGACATAGCGGTAGTGTATTTAACTTATAAATGCAGATGACGACTGTGTATTATAATAATATTATACTTTCGAGGTTTGGCAACGAATAAAAAACGGCGTTGCCAACCGTCGCCAGCCGTGTGCATGCGTGTTATTAGCCAGCTATAGGAGTCGCAGCTGTGAAAAGCGCAAACATTTAATCGGGAAATCCATAAACAACATCGAACAACAAACATTTAAGTTGGGTTAGGCATGAATGCGGGGTAATACGTAATATGGGTATTATATTGTACGTTTTATTACAATATGATAATTTCGATATATATGATATAAGGCATAAGTACCATTATTATAAAACCATTTTCGCGGTGTTTGCGTGTACTATACACATCGTACGGGATCGATACCAATGAGGTGCGGTGGCGGCGATGATTGCGTGTGCTTAGGCTCGGGTCAACCGTAACGGAAAAGTTAAAATATTTTTTTTCCATGTAATATGTGCATATTAAATATTTTTATAATTATTGTTATCATTGGTTTCTTTGGCATGAGTACCTACACAAACCGTACACGACAAACATTTACAAAACTATAATAATTTATAACGACTGCTGAACGCGACGGCGTACAGGACGATCAATATTTTTATAAATTAATGATATAAAATTACAATAATATTAATATTATACAAGATTTATGAACATCGATCATTTGTTATGATCATAATGACGTATTTCGTTATGCATCGATCGGTTGTACAGAATTAATGAAAGACATTGTTTTTGTGTCACAACACAATAGTGTCGCAATTAGAAACACAATATGGGATGGGTTAAAGCGGGTCCCCAACTACGGTGAAAAAAATGAAATCAAAAGAAGAGAAGAGACGAAATTAACGCGTAGTTCGGTAATGATATTCACAGACCCGGTCATTGTGTGACTGCCGATTTCGCCAATCGGAGCCCAAAATTTCTTTCAACCGAATTTGTCTCGATTACCATAATATTGCAAACAAGTACCTATATTACACTCTATAGGCGATAGGTATACACGCATGTTATGTACACGTGCGATGTTGACGACCGCGACTTTCTTATTATGGAAATATATTTTAGTCGTAATATCATAGAATAGACCGTGAGACGTTTTTAATTATTTCATTATTATTTATATTATATTATATTATATTTCGCACAATAATCCGTCTACCGAGGCTGTTCTGACAGATTTGACACAAGAGCGAACACGGGAGTAAAAGGGCGACGATGACCTTCGCATCAGATTTAGAATGCATTTATACGTAAAGAAGGTAATTTTAATTTATGGTAACATTAAACAGAGGGAATTGGTCACCGCGAAATTTTTTTTTGAAATTTGAACTTAAAGCTTAAATAATTTAAACTTCATTAGATATGTTAAATATATTTATTAACAAAGAATAATATATAATACATAATAAGGTAAAAGAAAAACTTGATTGCATTTTTATTTCTATTCTACAATTATAATGATAACACATAACGGTGTACTTAAATATATTTTAATAAAAGGTATTGTTAAGTAAGTGCATTAACTTAACAAATCATTGTCAGTCTATAATCTCTACTACCTATGCAAATATAATGAATTATAAAACCTATAAGTCAATGCGAGACATAAATAGCAATAATTAATTGACTTTCAAAACGAAATAAAAATTGATTCCAATCATTGAAGAGTCTCGAGATCGTTACTTATCACCCCGGGATCAACGACTGTCTCAATAGAAAGAACACGTCGTATAATCACGCGGACTCGTTGCTATTAAAGACTTGAAACAAACGCGTAACGTTCTTGGAAATCATTTAATTAGGTAACTATCACCTCCGTTAGATGTACATGAATATATATATAATATATATTATGAAAAACAGTACAACAACAAACTATAATTATATTTTACAGTATACCACTAATTGGGTACGCTCCGCGGCTATTCAACAGACGACAAACAACCTATAGCGATCAGCGTCTTTTATTCTTGTAAGCAAAAACCTTATACAGTACTGTACACACTATATATTTATGCTGTTGAAACTATAAGTACCTAAACCGTTCAAACCGGTATCATCATCGACAAACAGAAATTATTATTTTTTTTTTTAAACCATCTTCAAGTGGTACCGGTGTGAGAGGAGGTGTGGGTTTCTATACGTGTAAACGATCCAGTGAGTGGTTAAAGCTTATATGCAAAAATTGAAGAGAAATTTAAAAAAAATCTAAACGTATCACATCATATGTATTAAAATTGTGATTTGTATGAATATTACTGGAAAAGTCTAATATGTTATACACCATATGCATACCAAACGTATGATAAGGATCACAGAAAGTTAAGCTACCTCCCGTAAGTAACCCTGTATTAAATCTCTTTATTCCGAGAAAAATTCCGGTTATACCACCGAGACGATCCAAAAACTGTGTGTTTTACTAGTGTGTGACGACTTGAATTACATGCAATCGTAAACACAGGCAAGTCCATAAACGAGATAATTCGTTTAGTCGTCATGATCTCTATAAATTTGGGGTGACGAAGCCCGATCGAAGTCTGATCTCAGTTGTGTTTCATAATCACGCAATACTTTTATTATAATTGTAATATTATATCAAACGAATTCAATGCGCAAAATCGACATCGTGCAGGCGGCGACGTGTTTGCATACCGTAATATACGAGTATAATAGAGGTCGCGGGCGAGAGAGCAATAGTGACGATATCGTTATTACCAATTATTACTACTATTATTGCACACACTTCGGGGGCAATTCATTTTTTGGCGATCGAACTCCACGCACTCGTGACGCGTTTAGCCTCAAAACAAAACGCGATACACATAACGACAACTACAGACTACTGCAGACAGGAGAGACATAGTCGCGGATTTTTCGATCGTTGCACAACCGTGTTATTATTTTGGCGCGACTGCAGAATTTGTTGTATCACATGCACATATATAATTCATGTAATTGATATATTATTTATAAACAGGTACCCAACAATGCAGGACAAAGCAGTGTGTGGGCTTAATGATCCGGCGACACGTATACGACACCGGGCAAACATTTTTGCTTTTATAATGATATGATTTATTATATTGTATACCAATTATTTATTATTTTGCCGGTTCGAAATTATTGTTTTCGTCGGACAAATTGGCCGTTTCGAGGTCACATTCTCGACACTTATAATGACCCGCCGAGGTCGGCGCGACACCGCGAGCTCATTGTGTCGCAGCAGTGTTATCCGCGGCGAACAATAACACAAGCCGCAAACAATCAGTTCGCGCGCTCCGGAGATCTATTTATCGTATACGAACGAAAAAACGAGAAAACCGACAACAATAACTTATAATATAGGTGTTACGAAATTCCATCGGCAACACAACCGTGTTTTAACACATTTTAAAATTTAACAATCAGGTAGGTGGGTAAGTTTGTATTTACACCTATAGGTATACGTATATTATACGTTCAGTATAGGATTTTATAAGCAAATCGACAAAACATGCATAGGTTAAATCCATATGAACTATGCGTATACCACACAATAAATATAGCGATCGACGTAAACCGCATGTTCGATACTGTAAATTAGTTAACTTCACCGACCTCCTAGCTGTGTAGCAGTTCAAGTGTATAGCCCTGTGTCTTTCGCAAGCGATTTTTACATAACGTATTAAGTTGAGATAAAAATTCGAAGTGCGACAGCGAAAAATAAACAACCGCAAAAACAACTCGTTCGTATAGCGTATAAAGCTGCTGCCTCTCTCGCGGAGAATTAGAGAGAAAAAACCGCGAAAGCCCGTTCTCCGTGCCACGGCTGTGGTAACCCCAACCACCGCCCCGGACACATCACGTTCGGTTGTATGTATAAAATATAATAATAACAACATGTAACCGCACTCGCGATATCCTCTCCCGCGCACGCACCCGCGTATATATCTACCAGTACTCTGCAATTAAAATAACGTTGCATTAAGTCGTCGCACGCACAACATCGCATCAGAGCGTATTATACTTGTGTATATTATATATATATATATATATAGGTATACATATACATAATACCTGAGCGGCTGTACAACGCTAACGCAACGGGATACTAGAGGCGTTGTCGATGACGATGGTGGGAGGAAGGAGAAGGCGCACTATCACTGTGTGTGTATACGTTTTCACGGCCTCCGGGGTCTCGCGGATGAAGATTAATCAAACGCCACATAAACGTATAATAATATTACATATTATTATTATCTTTATACGCTCGTACGATGGGGGTATATACGCACAAGCGCTCACCATCGAGCTCGTATAGAAAGCAAAAGTTCCTCTACCGGTTTCCGTCATCGCGCTGGCCGTTGTTCACGGCCAACCGAGAGAGTTGTCGTAGTTTAAACTATACGCCGCCGCCACCGTCCGTCGTTCGCAAGTCGAACAGCGATTATTTTCATATTTTTGTAGGTAAACATTTTCTAAAATATCACTCGACTAGTTTCATGTGTACATTTAATTACTGTGGAAATTCGGTTATGTAAGCGTACAATTTGACAACAAAACAAAAATTAATTTTCAAACGTATGCGTTATATTATACAAGAAAATAAACTTATACTGATTTATCAATGCGTATGCGTTGTTATAATATTATACCATAAAACACAAACCGCGACTTCCCATGTTACTATAATATATTTCACCGCGGCAGTCACTGCACGTATTTTAATTTTTTGTTAAATTTACGCCGAGCGATAATTATCATTTATCGTATACGCTCCTCCCCATTGAAAATAATCAAAAATTATTACGTTTCTTATTTTTATTATACACAGTACACATTTTTGATCACGAGTTACTACGAAACGCAAACATCGCCGCGGTCACACCGATAACACCTATCCAAAAACATTTCTTAATTCTTATA